AACCGAAATATTTTGATGCTGTACGTAAGTTACCCCAGATGTTTCCATGATCATACACTCCAAAAAGTGGCTATTTGCGAGTGTCTAAAAAAGTAGCACTGGTTACTATCAAGATTAATTAATTTTATCTAAATGCGTATTATAGTAATGAGGCTCGTATATTAATTAGGTGGTAGTAAAAAATTCAAAACAAGTTCTTTGCTCCATACTCTATGTACTTTTAGCCAATATAATTACAAACGATGCCTATATATCCAAAATTATATATCCACTTCTTTATCGATAAGAACAGTTTTAGGATAATGCTATTGCTGATGTACAGCAAGAAAATTTTTTGAAATTGTATGTAAGCAATTATAAGAGATACGTATCAGCAATTACCTATAACTTTCTGCCTCCTATCTGCACTGACCGTTACGCTAAGGATATTGTTTGATATAAGGATTAATTCATTTCCTATAGTATAAGTATTTTTATAAAGATACAAAAAGCACGAATGATAAATACTTTTCATGACTAAATATTCTACAGTTTTTGTTAATTTAATTTGCAGAACAAAATTGTAGTTCTAAATATTAAACATCCGATTTTGTTGTCGTTGCTATTGACATTTATAGAATGTTATTACAGTCCACAAATTTTATGCCGCCAATGGAAATTTACTGTAGTCTAGAAAAATGATGCTTGTAACAATATCGTGCAAGGCAACAATGTAATTGCTTATACGGGAATCCCAGTTGAATAATACTAACCAAGTATAACTGCTATTGTATGCTGATATTTGATAATGCTAAGATTGCTTGGCATGAACATTTATTCTACATAAACAGTAACGAATTAAAAATAAAAAACGATCGACCTTTTGTTGTTAAATATTTTATATGTTTAGGCAACCAAAGGTAATTATGAATGATAATTAAACAGGCATGTTAAAAGTTTGTTTTATCAATATTTTCTAATAGAATCTACTGTTCGCGATATTTCGCATACTTGTTTACTGACTGGGATATTTCACTAGTTAGATAGTTGTAAACTATCTAAATTAATTACTGCGATAAAGCTTATCAACTATGGCGTACGATATATTCTGGAATAAAAATTTCATTATATCCAAGTCTGAAAATCTACCAGAAAATTCTGTAAATAGTAATCGTATGTTATACTCGTATGTAAATGACTTATATAATTCGATAACCTTAGGGCGCCATCTTGCAAAAATATTCATATGGGGTGTATTTAAAGTTAGCTATTTTCAATATTGTTGCAAATATCAATCTCTCAATATTTACAATCCATATTAATTAATTTATAAATATCGTTGAATTCACACCTGTACTACTATTTTACAAAGGCTAAAAAATAAATCATTTTCTTATATTTTTTTACCTAAAATATTTATTATTAAATTATTCTGTAATATTGAATAATAACCTTATCTAGTTTCGTGATATGCAATATTAATTGTCCTAAAACGAGAGATTACAATCCACCTGCATCATCATCGTCAATATTACGAGTATATTAACTTCTTTCAAACCATTAGCACTATTACGATTATTTCTTATTCCTATGGTAACAATAGTGCTTAATATACTATCGATCACGCACTCAGTAGCAACAATGCTGATATTTAATACTATAAACAAAAGCTACGGTGCTGTCAATGCGTAATCTGTTGACTTGCATCCTTCAATAATTTTATCTGCTGTAAACACTATAGTAGATTTTATATTTGTATTTTTTCTAGTCAATACAATAGCATTACATTGCTTATTATATTTACTAATGATTTTAAAATTGTTCCAACCGATCGTATATATCCTCTATTCTCAGTATAGACGCAAACTTCACGAGAAAGCTATTAGATTGCATCAGTTTTCTGTGAATTACTGATAAAGATACCACTAACCTCATTTTCAAGTATTCATATTCTTCAAATTTTCCATGAATTATGAACAGTATTGCATTGCTATTCAATTTTTCGATGTCAAAACATACGATACTTTTAGCAACTTAAAGTTATCTTCAAATTATGAAAAATCGTGATGATACTGCAGTCCTACAATTACGCTACTTTTTCCGAAATTTCCTTCTTTCTCTCCGCAAACAGCAAATGCGTTATAGGTGAAGTGTTCACACAGCACTATAACTGATGTTTTGATATGTGACACTCAATTCTTAAGTTTTCTACAATCAAAATGGTGAAATACTTTCCCAAATTGTAAAATATTAATGTACTGATCAATTATGACGATAGCCTTGCAATAATTCTGCAGTATCAAGCTAGATCACAAATCTACTTGCGGGCTGCATCGTAACTACTAGCTTGTAAAGAACGTCGTAAACAGGACAATAAAAGTAAAATAAATAGTGCCTTCTCGGTTTTCAGCTTTTGAAAATTATTACAAGTGTTGCAATTTAAGCAAGAAGAAAAGAATTTTGAACAAGGGCTTTATTTTTAAAGTCAATGTAAGAAGTATGTTATAACGCAATCACATCATAGAAACTCAAAAAGTATTCAATATTTGTACAAGAATTCTGTAAAGGTGTGGTAATGTACATACAGTACAAATAAACATTTAACATATAATACTGATTGGCAATCAATAATTATGTACATCTCCTAAATAAATACGTGTCCCAGAAATGGTAATTGGTGATAACATTATTATATTATCCAGATGTTGAAGGCCGACCATTGCTATGAATAAGTCTTTTATCGGGAATGCAGGTAAAGCTCTATCATTAGAATCGTCATTTGGGAACTAGACAGGCGCAGTCCTTAACCATTGCCTAATTAGTAAAATTAAAAAATTATGTCATTATAAGCAGTCATAACAGTAAATGTCTTCATACAATTTAAGATTGGGCATTCAGACAGCATTACTGCAGACTTTTATCATTTCCAGTAATATCGTAATAGTGGGTTCATCCATGTTCTGGATCTACTACAGATATTACCGTCATGATACAATGAGATCATCACAATATACCTTCAGTCATTTGTATTTCTTCAAATGATAGTAAAAGCTTACCTTCAACATACAAGTCCCTTTCCAAAAGCATATTGAGTATTGAGAGTAATCATTACCTGCAACCGACTAAAATTATACACCTAAACATCGAAAAGGATAAACATAATTATATTACTTTCTGTAATGGTAATATTGCTAACACAAATCAAGCTTCAACACTGATTAAATCAGAATAAGAGGTTCTAAGCATATGCAGCGAATTAGCATCATCCGGTAATTCCAACTTCTTTTAAAAGTATTTCATCACAATACTAAAACCAGTGTTTATATTAACATAGCCATTCTCTGGGCAGAGGTAAAAACTCACATCACTTTTAATCCATCAGGTAGCAAGGGCTAACAGACAATGTTATATTGTTAGTATACCTATAATAAAAACGATCTAAATGAGATAATGCCCAGTTGAAAGGAGTGATTAAAAATCCCATTATTTTACAAAGTGTTGCACGTTTAGCATGCTTGCAAAGGTTGCTGATCATACAATCCTTACTACTATAGTAATATCTATATCACACTCTTCAGTTATGCAACGAACGTGTCTGTCAATGCTCTCAGTGCAATAACCGTACAAGTATAATGAGAGTTACGAATAGCAATTTACAATATTATTGATGTGTGACAAAATGTATCATTGCAATTGGTTTATCATTCATACTATTATTGTCCATATCATATAATTCTTTTACTATATTTTTATTTAGTTGTTAACTCAAATAGCGATATTACTTGATAACGTATTCTGTCTCACATCTATTATATATGTTTAATTAATGATCATTTTAGCATACATTTATGCCATAAAATTTCAGACAACTTTTGCCTTGCCGTGTTTTACGAGCAATACGCGTTTTAATTAGGACAGGTGCAAACTAACACAACTAACAGAATAAAAGTTATAATAATATTTCCTAGGACTACCATTTAACATCATTGGCGAACACTTCTCTAACACACATTCAAATTACATTATCATTTTTATATGTGACAATAAGAGATGATGTAAATGTTGGATTCAAGTATTTTAAAATTTTTAATGTCTTCACTCTTTTAATTAAACTTTCTAATTAGTATGTTGTCCATATGTTATGAAAGTTACTTACACACGGTTTCGTTCACTTAGGCAAGGTTTAACTGTATTAGTTGTTTAATTCTAAGTAGATAGAATTAAACGTAATGCAGCTCCCCAATAACAATGTCATCAGCAACTTCTTCAACACGTACTTTTTTAATAGTTAACAATTACATATCTAGTAACATTTACATGAAGTTTTACTTTAGCCAAGACTGCCGCAACAGTCATTAATCAATGGATTAAAATTAATCTGTAGCTACTTCTCAACAAACATTAACGTTTAATATGACCTATTCTCGCTAAGAATTGCGGTTGCGATGTAAAACGCGATCAATAGGTTAAAGTCAGTTTACTTTTTCAACAATTTAGAAGGAATGTTTTTTATCATTAATATTATTATTATTATTATATACGAATGTGAACAAATTAAGAATTCTATTCCTAATTAAAATAATGATTGCATGTTGACTTACTGAACACTGCGTGTAATTTTACTTTAAGTACACGATAGGAAGTAAAACAGCAATTTTTATAATAAGAAATGTTTTGTTTTTTAAAAGTGTTAATATCCACGTAACTATCCGAGTAAATCTGTCGAAATGAGAACTATAACACGCACAGATAAACAGAAGCGGATATCTAGAGGGAACCATTAATTATTAATAATACTTATATGACAGTCTTCAAAACGTCTTCGATTCCGCTTAAAATGTGCAGATAAGCAGATCGTTTCTTATTGTTAAAAGCTAAAGGTCTCATATTACTATTTCACATTAGTTAATTATAATATAGATGCTAATTCAATATATCACTAGTATATTAAGTAATACGGTACTTTTCTAGTTACTTTAATATAATAGCAAATGCTTATTGGCTTGCATTAACAATTAAAATCACATTCTGCGGAATCGTTTTGGATTAAACATTGGATCGTGTTCGTTGTTAGGATAATAGTCATACGCATTAGCTGCAGGACCCTTACTAAAGCCCGAAGCCTCTCTTTTCCTGTCATCTCTTGGAGTATTATCTCGTGATGATTGTCGACTGCCTACTATGTTCTACAGTAAACGTAATAGTTATTCATACAATTTAAAGTCCAGAATAAAAAATGAACATATTACATGTTAGAATCACCAAGATATGTATCTGTATAATTAATTATGTACACATATATACAGTATATACATACAGATATACCTGTATCAATATAATTAGTACAAAAGAAAAGCACGAAAAAGTGAGCCATGATCAACGTTGACATGATAAAAAATATCTCGTTTTCAAAAGTGTGTTTCAGTGCATTACTTAGCGTTCATATTTTTCGAATTAAATATAAAGGACAAGTATAGTATACTAATGACTATAAGTATAATCAATCTCTAAACAGCAATTTCCTACGAACGTGCGAAATTAAAACTGACTAATTTATAGATTATTTGCTGTTATCTTTCAATTGATTTGAATACCTATATTAGCATCAAATCTATAGCTATTAATTTACAAAATAATAATAACAACAAACTCAGCAAACACTGTACTACCTCTACGTTTACACCATTCTGATAAAAAATGGGATTGATAACAATACATATGCATGTCAAAGTAGTCGTAATGACGTCATATATGGTACATGGAAACTTATTGCTAGAATTGATGCCACACCATACGGTATACGGTATATTTATTAACAAACTATTTCATTCTATCTTGGACTAGAATCATGCTAAGCCTTTTTACGTTAATTTCTACTTCAAATGCTACCGTATATTATTATAACGATAAGACTGTATACATTAAAATAGATTTAATATCTACTTCCGAGAGTATACGTTACAATCTTTAGCAAAAGTAAAAAGGTAAACTATAATCCGATTGTCTAAATGTACTGATATAATTTTAAACTTTTGCAAGTTATAAAATTTCTGTAAGCTCGATAGTTGCGGAGGTTAACTCCTTCAACTCACAAACGAAATAAAATGTTAATAGTTGAAGTGACAAGAATCACCTAGTCTCCAGTTGTTTATATAGCTGTAATATGGATCAGTCAATTGTCATTAAGTTTTTGACGTAATAATGCTTGACATTATGTCATACCTGCTGGTGATCAGGATAAGGATGGGGAGGAACCCTCTGATCCATCATAGGGGCTCCACTATTCCACATATCAGCCTATCAATTAAATCAGAGCTTAATAAACGAAAATCTAGTATAGTCAAGATTGATCGATGCGTCTTTTTTAATAGCAGATTATTTATCGAGTTAAAACTAATGATGATGATAAATACGATTTGTATGTTGATGTCATTATCATACATAATAAGGGTCTGGTCCAGCCATTCGATACCGAGGCCTTGGATTATCCTGAGAGCAATTAACAGCCATTTTAGTAATATAACGTAGAACTTATGAGATATACTAAGAAATCAACTTATCCGTACGGGTACAGTAATAAAGGTCTTACCATCATTGGCTGATTAGGCATTTCCTCATGTTCACTTCTAAAAGGCATTCTAATAAGAAACAATTTTACACATATTGATTTCACTCGAATCACTTGATGATTGAAATAACGTATTTTGATCCAAGTAAGAATAATGACATTATTCAAGCAAACCTTGCCGGTGGAACTCTTCCTCTCATTATTGGCGATCCGCCACCGTGGTACATATCTGGTTTGGGCATGAGAGGCATTTCTGGAGGATGGCCCATACGCATGCCCGGATGAGGAGGAACTAATAAATTATAATATTGCCGAGTATTAATAATATATAACTTACTTCTAATTAGATTGGTGGCACAATTGTCTTTCTAAGAGAATGACATATACGATCGTTACCGAAGCGTTGTTGCATTTGTTGCTGTAATTGTTCTTCTCGTAATTTTTGTTGTTGTTGAAGTTCATAACTTTCTTTCGCTAGAATTTCATCGATTTCTTGCTCAAGTTGTTGTTCCATCGTTTTCATTTTAGTATCGACAGCTTGTCTTTGTTCTTTAAGATCTTTATCTAAATCCTTCCATCGTTGTATAAATTCCCACTCTCGAGAGTTACGCTTTACAATTCTAGGTGAAACACTCCATTCCCTATTATCCATCGAAATTGGTTAATTATGAATTGTAATGGTCGATCAATTCCGCTATCACAGCCTTACTTTTGATAAGCAGCATTATTGCGAACGACTCTTTCTGGTAATCCATCTTCATCGTCTTCAGCCTCGAGGCTTCTTACAGTTACAGGCCTCATAGATCTACGTTTTTTAAGAAAAAAAGATGCATCCTTTAAATTGATATTGCGGCCATCTAGGTGTATTAGAATGTTTCAAAATATTTTATGCAAATTATCCACGTGTTCGTTAAATATAGATGTACAGTGATACCTCCTAATTGATGGTTATCAAGGTTCCACTGTAATAGTAAAGATTACTATATTATCTTGACGTACCTAGTGAGTAATAGGGCATTTTCTGTACATTCTTTAATAGCAGCCATGGATTCTTTTTTATGTGAAAATTCGACTAGACCGCGACCTGACGACTTTCCACGCATATCGACAATAACGACGGCTCGATGGATTTTACCAAATTTTTCAAAACCTTGTCGTAATAGTTCATTGGTAACGTATTGATTTAAATTGCTGACAACAATCGTTGAATTGGATGAAGCAAAGCGGACACGAAGAAGTCGATTTTTCACTTTTTTACCGTCCAATTCAAGTTTAGCACGGTTAGCGTTTTCAGTAGTGTCCTTTTGGAATATAATATCAATGAGAAGAACGAAGCGAATCACATATTTCTTATTCATTCTAGCATGAATCATTTGAAGATTGCTATTATTCTACATTCTATTTCGAATCGATTCAGCAAAGTTGCCTATATTAGTGTCGTGCACTGTACGGTTGAACGTTGTCCATACAGAACACTCTATGGTAGAGCCATGACCAGGTTAATCGATTTTTCTACCAATCATGCGTTATTATCTAGATTAATGGTTAGTGTGGATAACGACGAACGCATACAAAGCCGCTATTCAGTCATAGCGTACTCTACATGCTACTGAAAAGTATATCGTGCATTAAGCAAGATGGAAAATCGTCTTCTTTGTGCAGGGCTACAAAGAAGGGTCACAGACTGGCGAAAATTTGTTTTCGTCGTTCAAACCTAGATATACAGGTAGACCCAACTGTATCATGATCCAATTCATCAATTTTCCCACAATCATACGTTGTTAACAAGATTTATCGCTATGAGAAAGCCATTTGTAAGAAAACTGTCTTAGACGGGTGAAAAGGAACAACTACCCAAGCTAGGTAAGGGAATTTTTCAAGCCATGCTGCAGGACTGGCCAAGATGGCAAATGGTTTCAATGGCGTCAGCAAGGCGGTTGACGGATACCGATAGGGTGCAGTACTCGGTATGACTAGACTATCAAATCGTTTTCAATTTAATTTTGTTCCTTCTATTCTGATTGAACATCCATTTAACTTAATCGACTTTTTCAAAATAGCAAAAAGACAAAGAATGGATAGTCGTTTTGTGAGGAGGTTTTCATGCAAGGTAGAAACCTATCGGTCCACGTTTTCAACAGGGACAGTATGCTATCATGATTGGTGATTGAGTAGCACAAGTCGAAAATAGCGTCAATTCATCCAAGAAAAAAAATGCAACTCAATTGATCGACCTTACCATTTTAACAAAGGCATAACTCTTTTCCTTGCTTGCTGAACATTCAAGGACTTGGCCGTATTGCTGAAATAGTTGGCGGACTTCATTTTCATCGCAATCGGCCAAATTGCCAACAAATAATCGACAACGGTAATGGCCACTGGAATTAATTGACGACGCCATGTGAGCAACACTTCTCCTTCAGCTACAACAAAGAGACACTGGAGCAAAGCCAAACCGCGTTGGAAATGTTAAATTAACGGTTGCTCCGTCGAGCGTGTTTTACAGTGTAAAGTATTGTAGTTAAGGTTCTTTTGCCTTACCATTTGCAGAAAATTGAAGTCCACTTTCAGTACAGTCGAGTTGAGTACTGTAGTCCCATGCCAGGTAGTCAATGGTCATGGACTCTTTTCATGGTAGAGTATGGAATTTTTTGACCTCATGAACCTCATCACTTTACAGTGCAAAGTATTGTAGTCAAGTCAATTTTTGCCTTACCATTTGCAGAAAATTACAGTACTGTACAGTTGAGTACTGTAGTCCTGTGTCAGTCAGCATGGACTCTCATGGTACAGTACAGTATGGAATTTTTTTGGACCTCATGAGCCTCATCACGTTACAGTGTAAAGTATTGTAGTCAAGTCAATTTTTGCCTCACCATTTGCAGAAAATTACAGTACAGTGTACTGTACTGTACAGTTGAGTACTGTAGTCCCTTGTCAGTGATCATAATCTAGCCATGCTGGCATGAAATACCGATTATATAAAATAGACTAGTGCAAACTCCCGTCGCTACCATGTCAGTGATTATGGACTCTCACGGTACAGTATGGAATTTGGTTTACCTCATGAGCCTCATAAGTGGGTCAAAGGGGCTACTGTACTGTACTGTACTGAGTACTGTGAGTCTACAGTATGAATGTACCAAACAAATCTGTTAGCATGAGGTCCAGGCCCAGCCTCTGCCTCATGGTCCTTGAATTCAAATCACAAATGATTTGTCTAGTGTACACTGTACTGTAGTGTACAGTATAGTGTACGCAGTGTACAGTGTACAGTACTGGAGAAGGCCATGCGAGTATGCGCTGTACAGTACTGGAGAAGGCCATCCGAGTATGCGCATAAAGTGGATCACTCAGCCATGTTATTTTGCTTTCAGAATCTTATTCATAAATAAATTGAACAGACTATATTAAGTAGTAGTCATAGTAAATATTAGATGTACCCGTAGGCAATGCTTTGCTAAATGGAACCATTATGATAATTGATGGGAATAAAATATCCAACATTGAAAATAAATGCTTCGTAAATTTGAATTTGTACTGTAGCCAAACGTCCGATTTATTGCGATATTACGACTTCGAAATTCTATGAAATGAAATTTTACTTCAATATATAGAATGGACAATTTATACAGTATACTACACACTGGTATGAAATTTACAGATCATTTTATTATTTAAAGTATCTCCAGAAGGCTTTAAGCAATCTCAAAACAAAATAAACACACCGCTACACTAGCAGTCTAGCTCGAGCAGATGTGATCATGAGATTAAGTTCAAGACCAAAAGTGCGATTGGTATACTATACTCAATCCTAATCCAGTAGACTGTACTACAAATTACAATCAATTTCTGATCTATAATCCAATATTCCAATCAGGATGCAGTTGCATATTGCCCTTGTACCCACTTGTGACTCGACATAGAAATTGAGGCAGACCAGCCTCAGATCAGGGACTTCTAAAGCCTCTGCTTAGATACACACAGTACAGTAGAATGATTCCAGATAAAGATATACAGTAGGCAACATGTCGACGCAGATATAAAATGCAGATAGCTATATCAATACTTTGTACATACAGCATATAGGTATCTGCTTTTCTGTATGAACAGTAAGTAGGTTTAGTATTAACTTCATAGAAATTTGTTGTAGGAACAGTAAACTACAGAACGACACTTGTCGTACAACAACAACAGACTCGTGTAGTAGTAATACCTCTAGTAGTGAAGAGTGGCGGCGATTCAAAATGATTGGAGAAATAACGGTCATCATTCACAATGTTGTAAATGCCTCAAATAATATAATAATAGGCCCTAGGATATATACGCTTTGTACCGTAAAGGGCTACAAGATATGCATTACTGAGTGTAACTTCCACTGCATAACTGTAGATTCCCTAAATAGGAGAATAAAATACTTCTACAAAATAGAAAGTAGACAAAGTTAGACATGATTACGATGTTATTACTGTATCTGGTGGCAATATATCTAGAGAATAGAACCAGCCAAATAGAGATTACGCCAAATAATACCATGAAAGCAGAGTAGGAATAAAAAATGATTGTATGATGATAGGTGTACTGTTGTCCCAATTTTTGACATACAATCAATTGGAAAAACTCGCCATTGAAATATCGCATTCAAATTTTTTATTGAAATACTTTCAAGCAGCACAGTCATAAAAGTAACCGCACTTTATACAAGAATTAATAAGATACATGGCCCGCCAAAAATAGCCTTTTTACTTACAGTAGGTTATAAATCATGCGATTCAAATAAGCAAAGGACAAGTTTTTGTCCATATTACGATCTCTTTCTTCATGAGCTAGTTCATATTACTCTTTTCAAGAAATTGTTACTTGTTTTAAAATGAATTGATTGCAAATTGTCTGTCACAAACGCATCTTCTCATCGTTGTTGTCTCATCATCCTTGCTAGTTTCTATTCGCAGCTGCTTTTGCAATTTTATCGGCAACCATTCGTTCATGCTTAGCCTGCAAATTGATATACGATCATATTGATATTACTTTTGATTCTTACCGGTTATACACGAATAATTATTGGATGCATTTCAAACTATCATATATTACAATTTTAAAAGCTGTAGCAAAGCTCTACATGAAGTAGACAACTGTACATCAACATGGGCTACAGTGTTGATAACACTACAGGATAAGCCTAACGGTAATAGACAAGCCAAGCTATATACAGTATACTAGAAAAGTCACAATCATATCCATTCATGATTATCATGTACTGTACATTGACCAGGAGAATTGATTATGAAATTCCATTGATGGTTATGCGGTAGAGATACGCCATGAGTACATTACAGATAGAAACAGTTGTATACTAACTTGAATTTTCGAGGTATAGTAATAAAGGGCACCAGGAATGCCAATTCCAAATATCAGTAGAGTGGTGATCGTTCTAGTATTAACTTTAAATAAATGGTACGTGTTTTCACGATAGTGACCCCATCGATCTATAGCATCCGAGCGCTATCGTATTGAAAAAAGATTGACCAATATTAGTGGAGATTGACATCAAAGGAGTTGCAGAAATTGGTGGAAATAATTCTAACAAGAGCTCAATTGAGCATTATTACATCATCAGTGTAACGTTAGGAAGAGCAAAGATTACAATGGCCCAAAACGTCAATTATCTAGCACTTATACACTGAGCACAGTAAAAGCTTTGACTGGAGTTAACAGTATGTGTCTATCGCAAAGGATACGGGTACCGACAGAGAATGAAAATAGCGTCATTTTGTAGTAAGTCCTCTTCATCGATAGTACATGTACATAGCAAATCTCTCATCTATAAGACATAATGTATTGCTATTATTGAATTAGTGACTGCAAGTGTAGTTTCAATCCTATCAACTTAATGTCCTTCACACCATCCGTTCTTTATCCATACTGGTAGCAGTGCAGTACAACAAATACTACAGTAACTACAAGTAGTTCAAGTACCCATCGTTACAAGATTTGTGATTGACGGTTCAGAAAGGGTTTTTAAATGTATTGTCTATGAAGTTATATTGTCCATAGTTCAACTTTGGTCAACTTATCCCAATTTCATGGAGCATGAAAGTACTTGCTACACGCACAATTGTTTTAGCTGTACAGTATGCAAAAGTCAAACTTGAGCATGTTTTACGAGAGCGTTATGAGCATCCAGTCCGTATAATTTTTGACATCATTTCAATTAACAGTGGAGTTTTTAGTATTTATTTCGTTCTGAATTATTGTACGTATGTATACACAAGGCTTATTCCTTACAATTATGCCGGCATAACTTTCTGGCCTTCTTGGGGAAGACATGATTCTCTAGTTCAGAATTCAACTATGGTATGGAGGAAAGATCCAACTTGAAATGTAGAAATTTGGATGGAGCGTTTTTGCAAAACATACGGAAGACGTTCGGATTCTGCGCAGTAGCCATTTTTGCAGTAGACTATAGTGTATGGCACTGGAGAAGGTAATGCTATACAGTAGGTTTGTCCAACGCACTCGTTGTGTTGTACAGTACAGTATAACACCAACTGCGCTGCACAAGTACCGTATTGGGTAGAGTACGCTGTGTGTTGCAAGTACTGTAGGTGTAGAGTGTACAGTACAGTGCGATAAAAGTACTGTAAATAGTGTAGTGTAGTTCCATCCACATCTTCGATCTGTCATACTGTACGGTGTACAGTGCAGTACTGTATTGCACAGCTAGTTATCTAGTGCTTAAGTACGAAGTACCGTAGAAATTCCCAAAATGCAGTGGTCAGACACTGACTACTGTACAAGTGTACTGTAGACTAATCCTCATCGTCACTTTTTATCGAAGGATTACTCCGCTTAAGAATGGATCATGACTAATTGCAGGGTGATTTTCTTCAATCTTCCACGAGTCATTGTATCATAAGGACAGACTTGAGTATTTAAAATATTAGATACACTAGTATAGCACATGCTAGGAGTTTATTTATTATTTTGAATATTACCACTGTCAAGATTTCAAATCAAGCAGGAGTACAGTACAATAAAACACACTTCAAAATACTGTACTGTACTGTAGAACCCTGAGTCATGACGCGATCTACGCACTCTCAGTCGATGCTTTGGACCAAGGTAAACAATACTGTACAGTGTACAGTACCTTCCTTTGAAGACCTTAACAGAGCATTTGCAGTACTGTACTGTACAGTAGTGTTGTTGTTTGAAGTACTGTACTGTACTGTACAGTACTGTAGAGAGTTGTACTGTACAGTACAGTACACTGTACCCACTGTACTGCTCAGGAGTACAGGAAAGCTAAAAATGGAAGAAAAGAAAGAAAAAGCTTTTTCAACTTACTGTACTGTACAGTGAGGCACAGCAGTGTACTGTACTCACTACAGGAAAGCTAAAAATGAAAGAAAAGAAAGAAAAAGTTTTTCCAACTACAGTACTGTATACTGTGAAATCAGTACAGTACAGTACAGTACAGTATACTGTATTTCACAGTGTACAGTACTGTACACTGTATACTGTACAGTGAGGCACAGCAGTGTACTGTACTCACTACACACTGCTCAGGAGTACAGCAAAGCTGAAAATGGAAGAAAAGAAAGAAAAAGCTTTTCCAGGTCCCTTGCACAGTGTACAGTGTACAGTACAACACTGTAGTCTACACTGTACGCTACTGCGGTACAAAAGAGTCACAGTACTGTACATTGATAACTGCAGTTATCATTGTTGTGCGATTGTCTCGGATATCCTCTGTCTATCCACACGGTTGCTCAAAACGTCCGTGGCCACTGGCAGTCGGTCAAGCCTGCAACTGCACTCGTTTTACTGTAGAGTACGTCCGCGCGCTTTGACGCCAAAGTTGCTTCAGTCGCAAGCGAGCGTCCTCCACTCCAGCCCATAGAATACAGTACTTTGACCGGGTTGTCGGCAATCGTCCCCTACCGTGGTGTTGATGCCACTCGTCATCCTTTGAAACATCACTCTTGCCTACGCTTCAATCAACCACTAGCGTCAATCACCAACGACGTCCTCCATCACAACGCTCGACACAGCTGCATCGCCATTGAAAATGCAATCACCAATGAGTTTCCAATTTCACTGGTAGACAGTGAAATCGCATTGAACCAAAAGGTAATTGATTAGATGCCCAAAAGGGAATTGATAGATGCCTAAAAGGGAATTGATTGATGGCCAAAAGGAAATTGATTGATGACCAAAAGGGAATTGATTGAGGCCTGCATCGATGTCATGCCTTTGATTTTGAGACCAGTTGTGCTTTAATTTCCAATACAGGCAGACAATTGTATTGGTAAGTAGACCCTCACAGTGGAGCATTTGACTTTGGACACTCTTGGCGCGTTATTACTCAATCTTGGACTAGCCATTGATACGGTAAGGAGAGTGGAGTTGATATCAGTGTAAAATCCAGCTAGTCAAATAGGATAGCGTTGTGGATTGCCAATCTAAGGAATAGTCTCGCTTGGATAATGTACTTTCTCGTCCATGGTGTAAGCAAAAGTACAATCGACAGCCTTGCTCTATACAGTATCTACAACAACCATGGTAGGCATCCATTCAAATCCAAGCCTGTATAGACTGTATAGACCGATATACAATATGGATAACACCATATACAAACGAGATCCCCCCCCCCAAAAAAAAAATTGGAAATGCGTGCCAGATGATGTCCATTTGGATGGCAATAGAGTATGGCACTTTCTAGCTACCATGGATGAGAACCATGAGACTACCTATCCAATTTCTCACCTAGTCCTATCAATAAAATGTGATTTAAACTATTTCTCTCTACTGGTAGATCTAGTCTCATCTTGAAATGTTCATTTCTACACTCCAAAGTCAAATAACACCTTGTACAACATGATGCATAGTAGCCTTGTGACAATAGTCTACTTGAATATTTTCAACAAAGTAAATAATCCATCATCATCACCTTGTTATAGAATCGACTTCAACGATTCAACATGGAGAAAGGCACTCTCAAGCTAAACTTGATTAAAACTGGTGACCGATATGATATCAAAGCTCCTCCGAGTAAAGTACAAGACAAGATTGCTCCAATTCCTGTGCGTAAGCTTTGTTCATTCAATGACTCTCTTATCCACCACGGTCGATTATCCTGACCTAGTCATCGTCACTGATCACAGATATCGATAGATATATTGCAATAGACTGATCTAAAAAATAGTATAGCCAGCCTCATACATCAATGAACTCTATTTTACGTAACAACAGCTTTGTACTCTATGGATAGTAGTTGTTAGATTAGCATGAATGAGCAGTATTCCTGATTAAATACAAGTTTTCAATGGATTCATTTCAAGAATCACTAATTACGGTTCATGTTTCATCGCGATAGTACTTGTAAATGGAGTTTAATACAACTTTCAAGATAGCATAAAGAATCCCTATTTCAGTACGTCGAAATCAGTGCTGGACGAAATCATACCCCGTAATACAAATCTGACACGATCGGATCGATATTATTCGTAGCTTACAACATCAAGACATCTTGATAAACCATTGCTTTGATACTGTCTTTGCAATTAGGAAAGATAACTATGGGATTGATTTATAGCCAAGTCCAGCTAATTTTTATTTTGTTAGAGAATGCTCATGATAAGCTCAATCTTAATCTAATTTTAAAGAAGTGAACCATTTCTGTACCACAGTTGTATTTTACTTTACTTGTGAATGACTAATTGGCTTACAAATAATTTGATGTATTATCCTATACACAACTTTGGACAAATACAATACTCTTAATTAGTACATTGGTAAATCTACTCTACTTTAGGATCAAGATTGAACGTAGATGCTTACTCTATGCTTTCATACCAGTATTGCTATATTTGCAACATATTGGTTCCATTCTACTACATTTCCATCCAATCATACAGTATCTAGTAGTGTCGTAGTATGATTCATGATAGCTTCTATAAGCTGCCTACAAATAATAATGAAGCAAGCATTCCTTAGTACAAATTGCATCAACACATCACTGCACGTTATTGGCAAAGTAGTACACAATGTCAAGAAACCGATTTAGATGACATTCCCTCCAGTTATTCTATCGACACTAAAGCAATTTCATCATCCTGTACAGTATAACAATTAGCTTAGCTTATGTGCGTAGTACTGTGCAATACAAAATTTCATATTATCACCTGCAAAACAACAGTTCCCTCGTTACTTTGCTCTTATTTGGACCAACCAATGCATCAATAATTTTTACTCAATTGGATACGAAATTAGTTTAGATTCGTGTTATTGCAAACTACAATTCTTAAAGGAATGTTTTGTATCCACTTGACGTTGTAACGTTAATACGTCTACATACTCATGTAAAGCTAATAAATAGCTAATTTGTCTAAACTACAGAATACATCGCTAGTGCAAGTTACTCCATCTGTTGACGATAATAGAGGTAAGTAGAATTACAAAAACTATTACTGTAATTAAGGACAACTCTTGACTTGGGCATCCTCTCAACATTCATTATTTATAATTCATATGTAGATGATGAAGCTAAACAAAATGTCAGCATAGAACCAACGTTACAAGGGCCATCGCCTTTGAGTCCTAATAATGTCATTACATTTAGTACAGTGGAAGGATCATTTGCTACTAATTCACAAAAATTTTGGAACAATTATGACGTGATACTGTTGGTCTGTAGAAGGAAAGTACAAGATCCTTCTTTAACGCCTTCAGATTTATTATCCTATATATCGGAAAGGGTAAATGGATTGCAAATGGAAGATTACCAGGAAATTATCAATTATTTTCAATTCAACTCTTCCGACAATAAGCTTTACTTTAAAGCAGAGCATGCAACTAATAAATCTCCTTTGGAATGCAAAACTCGTCATGAAATGGTAGAACTAATACGTAACTGCCATCTTGATGATCATAAAACTGCTGATGGCATATATCGATTATTATCTCCAAAATATTACCCATGTTTTCGCAAACCTATCTACGATTTATTATGGGAAGAAGTGTTACCACAATGTTCAAAATGTAGTCATAATTTACTAACATTTCCTCCGCAACTGGATGCTAGTAAACTTAATTTAACAAATTCTCCTCTTATCGGTAATTATAAATCTATCACAAATGGCAATGAATTGACTGAATCTTCCGATAGACATGGTCAGCCATTACTAGGTAATATTTATAATTTATTCTATCTTGCTAGGTTATCGACAATTAACAGAGGCGATCCATCAATAATTTTACAAATACTTAATCTTCATGTTATTGCTGCTTCAATTAATTATTAGGAGAAACTAATTTAAAGCGAAAGTTGGATACGCTGGATTCCTCATTAATTGCCGATTTTAAGCCAACATCATCAATGGAATTGTTAAGTGCTGTAGATGACTCTAGCAATTCTTTACAATTACTGTCAAATATAAGTGATTCCGATAAAGCAAGTGTTCTCAGTGATAATTCCTACCATAAAAATAAACGACGTAAACCCAGAAAAGGATGGTTTGTTCAGTCAGGTAAGTAAAGTAGAAATGAAAGTTAATTGAAGGCACTGCATATGTTGTAGTGCTCACAACTAATAATCACATAACAATCTATGCACGATAGTCGATCCTTTATTCGAATGGGAAGATTACCTTGAAAAAACTGGATCGATCGCTGCACCACCAGACCTTTTCAATCAGGTTGCTATAACTTCTACCTGATCATTGATTATCGAATTATTCTATAATTGTTTTTTTTCTATTTATTTGATTACAACTTATTGAGCAATATAACTTTTATTTAGCCGGAAGAGCCTCCTGTAAATAAATTTAGAATCGGCTTAAAGCTAGAATCTGCAGATCCACGTAGTCCTGCATGTACCTGTCTAGCGACCGTTGTAGATACATTGGGAAGTAGAATACGTCTCCGATTAGATGGATGTGATAACCAGAATGACTTTTGGCGTCAAGTCGATTCGGCAGATATACATCCAATCGGATGGTGTGAATCAAATTCAGAAATGATCCAGCCTCCATTGAGTACTTACAACCGTCTATAATACGTGTACAATCAATTACTTCAAGTGTCGGTTAATAACAACTTCTCATATTTTTACTTCCAGATTGTTTGAAAAACCCCTCTAATTGGAGCGAGTTTGTCAAGAAAACGTTAAATAAAGCAGATTTATCGACGTCGGAGCTATTTTTGACGGTACATAGTATTGCGTTAGTCTTATTGTTAACAGTACTTAGTACACAAGAATAACGCATCTATGCTATTACTGTACTATTTCTCCATTAATGTAGCCTCCAACACCACCAGAAAAGAATATGTTTGAAGTTGGTATGAAACTTGAAGCTGTTGACAATAAAAATCCCCAATGTATTTGTGTGGCAACTGTAGCTAACGTTGACAAAGACAAAATTAAAATTAGTTTCGATGGCTGGAATAACACCAGTGACTATTGGTGTAGTTATTTATCGAGGGATATATTTCCTGTTGGTTGGTGTAAAAAGAGTAAACACCCCTTACAGACAGCTAAGGGTATGTACATTATGTGAAAAATTTATGCTACGAATTTAAATGCAATTCGTCCTTAGTAGATTGTAATACGCATGATACGCGTATGTTATTAGCATTCCATGTAACATGATGTGTTTTTGTACTATTGTAGTTCCTTTGTCACAATCATCACCACTTGATAGGTATGTAGTACAATGCCTAAATTTAGCATGTATCCATAGACTACTAATATCATTCGCGTTCAAATTGATATTATATTGCATGCTTCATACCTTACATTTCTTTTAGATATGACAAGGGTCCTGAAATAGAAGAAAAATTTTTTGATAGATCCCCTAAAAATCTTGAATCGACAAAACAGAGTGATGATGATAACGGTAAAGTCTACCATTTTGAGAATATTAAAAAAAATTATTACGTTACAATGTTATCTTTTGAGTAATCATCCAACTCTTGTAACATAGAATCAAATGATCAAGTTGTGAGTAAGATCAACAATGAAGATGAAACTAAGCATAGTGATAAAGGTACAAACTATATTCTTATTTAACTTGTAATCCTTATAATTTTGATAGTTTACTGCTTCCTGTTAACGAAATAATGCTATATTTCTTTAAAATAGTTATAGTATATTTAAATCGCGATTGTGATCCTGGGCCTTTATTACCGAAAAATAAACTAGACTTGTTAACATCCCAGTTTGGGCCTGCTGATGCTCAACAAGTTTTACATCAAATTGTGCAGGGCTTTGTTAGCATTGCTACAAATCCGATGAAAATAATAAATCTTATTAAAGAAGATGATAGTCATGAAGTCTGTAAATTTAGAATTACTAGTGATATTAGCTTTCGCTGTAGCCTTCCCACAGTAAATACTGTAGCCTCTTTGCAATCAGTTATATTAAATCTACAAGATAAACTTCACTGCCCTGATTTATTGCGAATTCGTGCTTCGTTAAAAAGAGGAATGGATAGCGATTCATCCAACGAAGGTAATTGAAATAATTTAAAAAAATGCTCGTACGGTACTGTAAAGGCATTATTTATAGCTTTTCTTATGTTGAATCCGTAATAGATGATTCTAAAAGAGTATTCAATACAATGGAAGCAGGTAATGTTTTATGATCTGCTACGATTTCAAAGGCTTTCATTTGATATATTAGTGATAGTTGATGACTGAGAACATTACAAAACCTAAAGTATTATTTTTCCATCACATCAGAAAGTAGTACCGTAGCTACGTCCAACAAACAATTACAGCCCACTCCACCTAGAACAACTACTGACTTTAGACCCGATTTACGGATGCCAGGTAAAACGGCAATTTTTATTATGGTCTTACATTACTTAAAATTATTGTAAGATGTGCTGAGTAATTACTACTTAACTCTATGGAATAAAAATATGAAGCAAGGTTTGCAATAGCTATAAATTGTTCTCTAATCTTTACTTTAGCATTTTTAACTCAAAAAGTACGCCAACCTGTCGTCCCAAAAAAAGAAAAAGAAAACATTCAAATAGCACCAACTATGTCATTAACTGAAAAAAATCCACCACCTAGAAGTATAGCTTCTCAAAGTCAAGGATCGACTCAACCACCAAATCACGTAGGATCGCTTAACTTTACTAGTATGTCAAGTTCGTTCTCATCTCGAAAGCCTTTAAGGATAATGTTAGAAGAGTATTGCAATATTCATGGCACAGTCTGCAACTGGAGTGTTCAAGATGTTGCTAATTTTATAATCCAAACCGAAATGTTGGACTATGCTCGTTTATTCTCCGATAACGTGAGCTACTATTTGTTATAGTTAACATTATGTTGTCTACGTCTCACAGTATGAGGACATAACCTCATATCTTAATTTTTCTAGGAAATTGATGGGAAAGCTTTGCTGCTTTTGGAGCGGGAAATATTAATGAATTACATGGGATTAAAGTTAGGTCCGGCGCTAAAATTGTACCATATTATCAAATTTATCAAATCATCTGGACTTTAAATCCACTTTATGTGTAGGTTTTAAACGATTGGTAGAAACTGCCAATCATGTATTTGAAAAAAATGCATCATTGGCATTGACCTTGAGCTAAGATTTAAACCGAAATATGCACGTAATACAGTATTTTAGACTATTTTCTAGAATTTGCGCAAGTTTTAATCTCGCATAGTAGAATTTGTATAATATGACTCGAATTAGTCTTGGTAATCATTCGCTTTTATTATGTTATTCATACGGCTTATTACGTGGATTTCAAACGTAGTTGTTATTCTGCAAACATCAACAAAGAATAACATGAGAGATAAAGCAACTACGATTCCTTTTGGATATTTATAATGAGTTCCATGTTTTATTAGCCAGTGCCCATAATCGACAAATGGATTGGCATCAATTATCTTTAAATAATATTTGTTACTAATAGAGCGTGTGGGATTAAAATGCGTGCTAAATAAATATATTATTATTATTTGCTGATAGTTTTTACTAAACATAACTATTAAAGTATGTCGAATTCTTTCAAATTGTACATCCCAATTCGTTTTTAGCATTTTAATTGTCATTAGTCCTGAACGAAAGCAACAAAGCGATAACGTGATGATGGAATAAATTATATAATTTATACATACGCTGATAGGTAATGTCCGTTACAACTGCAGTTTTAGTTTTATCATTGTCATATGATGGAAGTATTTCATTAGGTACCGAACTGATTTACTGAATTCACAATTGTATAATTTAAATATGATATGAACAGTATCATCTTAATTTTTGGTAATCATCGCTAAATATATATATATACGAGTTTACACCTCGAACGAACATAATTATTTTAAGTTCATTTCATCATGATTTCATTCAATGTGCTGGAAGTGACGTATCTTGGTGTAGTATAATCACTTTTGACAGTTATTTTACTGTCATAAACGGAATAGATGTAATGTCGCTAAATAACTTTTGGAATAAAGAGCAACTTTCCAAAAAATTTTCGCCTTTTCTTTCAACATGCACTGAAGAGTCCGTAAATTTTAAATGACACGTAAGCAATGATGCTTATTCGTAATGATTAAAGCAGATTCACGTCAAGCACTATCAATGATCATACGCGTATGACGATAATTTTATATATTTTATTTTCACATCAGAGCGTTCTTGTACGTGCAATATATCGCACTGAATTGGTTGACACTAACTTTGGTAATATCGACAGACAGTTTGCATATTACTATAGAAAACCCTGTACAAATACATCCTTTGAAAAGATCTTATATACAGTTAGGAACGTACAAGTATAATACATAGGCATAACTTTTAGCGATGAAATAATAATCCAGTATTAAAAGTTTATAAATTTTAAAATTTTTCGTGCAGTATAATACATGCGCAAGTGTCGTCAAAATAATAGTGGGAGTTTACAAATTGCTGGCTACATGTAGCATATCCCACAACACATGGATAATAAAAGAAAATCTGATTATAAGTTATCATAGTGATTATTTCTTCAAATAATATTTGAATGGATAATCTTGTCTGAATTTTGTTACTAACTGAACATTGATATTTGTTTGATCATTCATTATGGCACTGTCGGTTTTAGCAATTGCAACTAGTGTATGAGCAATAGAAGGTATGATCAAGATAAGTAATTAAGATAATGTATAACTTTATCTTCACGAAAAAATGTTGTTGATCAGTTCAACATCTTTTATATCCATTGCATTTGCACCACATTCAAAAGAAAGTATAAAATAAAAAAAGTTGAAACGAATACGGCTTTTTCATTGCTATATTATTAGCTAACTAATTCTAACTCATAAAGAGTGAACTTTAGTCCATAATTAAAACATGAGCCTGAGTACTTATTAAATAACGTTATAAATAAAATTGAATTATAGTTAAGACAATGGTAATCCTTGTTCATCAGATCTGTCTATACTACTCAGGAAATGTTTAAAAAAGTCAGCGGAATAATGAAATATACATGATGATCAAAATATTTAAAGGTGGCATGATATTCGTATAATAAATTCTTATTAAAAAATTTTCGATATTATGAGATTAATATCGACTGTTTCTTTTTTATATAATATTGATTCTTATGTGCATGTTAGAAATACAAGCATTTCATCTAGGTATGATAGTACGTCTTGCATTACATAACAATATCATCTTCTTCTGCATTAGGCTTAGTTCTCCAATTCGATGTAAGATCCATCTATAAATGAAAAGTATACTTGATTAATATCAATACCCCTTAAATAGACTACTCGAGCAAATGGATATTTGCTTGACCAATTATAATAGTGCGGTAACTACTATTTTACCTCATCTCCAACAGATGTGTTTGTATTTGTTGGCTGACCACGAAATGCTCTTGATTTATTACCACCAGATAAATCTAAAGGTTTCAGCCTTCTTGGCCTAGAATCGCTGAGAGCTGAATCGACGGACTTATTCCATGGATTACCTTCGGATAACATACTGTGAGTCTCGTCTTGATACAAGTCAGAACCAATAGGCGCAATTTTATTTCCTTTTCCTTTCTTTTTTTGCTTGTTGCGATTTTTACCATTCTTTTTAATATTTACTTGATTATCACGTGCAATACCATCATTATTATCATGTCGATGTTTAGAAGAAATATGTTTCCTTGTAGTAACAATATCGTCGTCATCATCATCTTCATCAATTTCATCAGATCGTGTTAATTTATTCAGTCTGTCTCCCGTTAGTCTTTCTCTATCTACTTTCCTTTCTTCTATTTTTTTATATGATCTATTATTATTAATATGGACATCGCTATCAACTTCTTCATCGCTACTTTCACTTCCACCATATGATCGACGGATGCTACTTTTAGCCTTCTTTGTTGTCACTTCTTGACGTGTATGATAGCTCTATCAATTTTTATTTCGAAAAGCATATATAATCGTTAGCAATTGTAATTATTTAACATTAATAAAATACACATTTGCTTAATTAGCTGCTAATATAGTTCAGAAAATGTGAATACAACTACAATATGAGTTAAATTATATTGTTGATGTACCTTTCCAACTGCTATGGTATCATCATCTGAATCACTATCGGAATAGTCTGCTTTTTCCTTTCTGTTTGTTGCTCCCCTTGGTGGCTGTACGTTAATATTATTATTACGGATATTTTTACTACTGTTTCCCGTTATAACAAGATCATCATCTTCATCATCGTCGTCGTCGCTGTTATTTCTAAACCTGTGGCTATTAATGTGACGATTATTCGATGGTGATTCCGGATCTGCAGACACTCTATTGCTTTTCTTACTCTTTTTCCCTTTTTTACCTTCAATTTTATCATCGCCGATATACATTTCGTTCTGATAGCAATAAATAATTTAAAGTCATTCATCTGTCCTCAATAATTGCAAAAAGAACGCAAAAAATGAAGGTTTTCTGGAAATGAAATGTCCTATTATAATTATTAATCAACTCACTCCTGTGACCACAACGCGCTTAAATGGATCGCCAGATTGTGTTACATCAACTTGATCGCGATTTTGACTCTCACGTTCCCTATTAGAGAAAATACAATCATAACATAGTATTTAGTATTAAAGTGCAATGTAAGCTATAATATAGTATTATATATATATATATATTGTATATTGCTAAGATTTATTCTTGAACCCCATTTCCATAAATATAGTACAACACTAGATAAAAACTTACTCTTTTTCTCGGCGTGCTCTTGCTCTAGCTCGTCTTTCCTTATTTTCTCGATCATCAATCTCTTTCTAATAGCAATTACGTAAATAACATTGCATAAGCTGTTATATTTATCAAGTGTTTTACCGACATGTTTAAAATTTAATTGGCTAAGCTTTTGTCGAATGGGCTAGAAATAAGTGGCCCAAGTCGTATGTTACTAGTGCTCTTGTAACAAGGCACAAACTTTAACCTAGGACAAAAGTTTGACATATATCCTCTACGATTACGGGTAATTGCATGTTTGCCGCTATCTTATCAACATTGATGTATATGTAGTTATGACGGTAGCTATATAGTAACTATCTCTGAACCAAATCTAAATTTCAAACTGACATAATAAAGAATACTCTAACAACGCTGGAATAATTAGTCTTTTCACTGCTGCTACAGTAGAATCATGATTAAAGTTCAAACAGTGGCTACGAAAGAAAGATTGGTATGTGCTTTTTTCAGAGTTAGTAAATCTACTAAAAATCTTTATATAGAAAGTACGGCAATTTACTCCAGCGGAAATAATGTAAATGGTAATGGTTACTAATAATTCCCAAGGAAATTATAAACGGAATGTCGTACTAATTGATTGAGAACAACCTAATCTATTAATTCAAATACGCTTTTTATCACAAGGTAAGCTTTTGAGGATGTTTTGTGAAGGATTATAAATTATGTAGATCTAGTACTATAATTAGGATATTGTAATTAGGGTACGTATTTCAATCCCAGTGTAGGATATTTGTCAATTGAGAAAAAGCTTTCAAGCAAAAAAATTGGAAGCAAATTAAAACTATATATCATAATGAATAGTCCAAATTTTGATATAGTACTAAAACGTCTTAAATTTTAAAGATTAGATCAAATTTTGTTAAAGTCATTCTTTACTTACTTGATTAGCAATATCTTTTGCTACTCTTTTCATTAAGGCATCACTCTTACCGATGGTATCAATTAACCATTTAAATCCTATAAGAAATTCATGGATAGAAAATAGTATGAAAAACAGCATTTAAAGACAGAGCAAGCGTACTCACAGTACGTTATAGACTTTTAATTTATCCTCAACTAATACCATAGATTATTAAATTAATTGGCAGATAACAGCTGCACTATCAGTCTCTTTTGTCCACTACTGTAACTTTCCCTTTTCTTCCTTATAGGATATTAGTAGTAAATGATGTTGGCTGTAATAGTACTTACCTATTTTAATAGATTTATCCGTCTTAGATCCAGTTCCCTTATGAGCTATACATCCTTCCTAGAAATTTGTTTTGGAAAAGGGATAGAGGAAAGTACGTGAATTTAGACCGAATGAGTAAACTATCAGCGTATTTTTTAACATTTCACTGATGCCACATACTAACATGGCGAAAGGAGTTGTTTCAATTGAATTTTTCTAAATACTTATTAATAAGGTGTAGACTAAATTTCCAAAAATCAATTTTACAGCAAGTGCGATCTTGAATATAAATAAGCGAAATTATAATAATATCGCAAAGACTAAGTGTTAATATATGCATTACGTAAAAACTTGCTACAATATGAAAGCTATTGTATCATGTATATCATTTATTCTCTAGGCTACTTCTACTCCATCTGGTTTGCAGTATAGTAATGTATAGCAGAGTTTGATGATCAACTCATCTATAGACGATTAGAATATGTTAGACTCTATATTAATTTGACAATAAACCGACAATCTATACACTCTTTCAAGTCTGACATCAATAACCGGAACACACTTCTTCATATTAAAACAGTAAATTTTGCTATTGGATATTATTGCAATAGATATTTACAATAAAAGATTTAGAATGCGATGACTGCCTACGGTACAATAGCGGTAAAATCATAATATGGATATGAAAAACGTAATTATTTCTATAGCCCTGCAAGAGCAACGGAAATCAATCTTCATACAACAAAAACATTACGGTAATCTTTATTAAGTTGCAATTTCGGAAAATTCTAGTTTAAAGTTTGCCATTAATGAATTCATTACAAAAACTGCACACAATTTTGTAAAGAGCATCGATATAAAGCTAGAAATGCGAGGAGATTTTGACTCACCACTCGATATGGATTTTGGTTATTTGTTAGTAACGAATGAAGTTGTAGCTGTTTGACTAATCTTTCCTTGTCTATAGCATTGGGTATATCTTGTTTATTAGCTAACACCAAGATGGGTTTTCCTTTTGATTTATCATGTTTGACAACTTCTTCTAGTACTTCTAGATTTTCTTCTAATTTGTTATGATCACTTGCATCGACTACATAAATGATACCATGAACCTAGAATATATAATTATAAGAAATAAAAACGCTATTTATCTCTATAACAATATATTACAGTCGATTGTACTGTATTAATAGCATTATATAAACGTTTTGGTCGTAAATGACAAAAAAATTGAGTCGCTAGTACGTATTTACCTTCAGATTTTTTTCTCTAGTAATAAATATAGATTAATTCTACAGTAAATATATGCTTTTTTTAAGCTTTTTATCAATTACTGCTTTACTAGCCAATAAAGTTCTGAAAATAAATTGATTTACTTACATCATGATAGTAATTCTTCCAGATACCACGAATTCTCGGCCCACCGCCGACGTCATAAGTTATAATTTTACGTCCATACAATTGCAGTGAAAAGTTATTAAATCCTACTGTGGTAGAAACTCCTTCAATGCTTTCTAAAGAATAATTTTAAACATAAAAAAATAAGATGATGTGCTAAATAATAACAATTTCTGTTTATTAACTGATAAATATCATGCGGCAGTCACGAAAAATCTACTGCTTGAGAATAGAGATTACAGGTCTATTTGTAATGATACGATCGAAATTAAATTGTTTCTATGCTGACATTCTAAAAATATGTATAACAGGACACTAGTCTATGGGAGTTTATTTCGCATGACTTTCATTTATATCAGATGAAAGCTATCACGCTCTTCTTGATAGCAAAATGTCTAAATCCAAATCAACGATTTATAGTGTTAATGGAAACATTGTAGTTTCATCTAATTTTACTGCTCAACAATGCGATCGTGGGAAAGACAGTTTTTATATACTTATGATATAGCTGTATTCCTTTCATCTTCTTATTACCAATCATCGATGTCGCATACCGTCTCATAACGTATTGTTACTCTATCTTAATTAATAGCCAGGGATGTATACATAAAAATAATCTAATTTAAGACATACTTTCTCGTGCTATTTACTACAGCACTATCGCATATTCCACCTCGACATCGATGCACTACGCAATTATGTTGATAGCAATGACATGATAAATAGATACGTGCTTCAAAAAAAGTAATTTTGATATAGCCTCTTTTCCGATTCAATTTCAAATCAATTTAAAACTGGGTACAGAATTAAATATCTTATTACTAAAGTAGAATAGATAATTTTACATTATTGAAATCAAGTAGACATGTAAAAGTGTACGCCTTTTATGTATATTTGAATTTGCCAAAAATATACGATCACACACATACCTCCTTGCAAGCATCGTAGAATAGTTGATTTACCAGCACCATCTAGTCCTACCGTTAGCAGAGTGATTTCACTAGAAATGATGGCAATATTAATCGTAACATTAGCTTTGAAAGAGTATCACTGCAGTAATGAATATATTATCCAAAGAGGATATTGTCCAATTTATAAGATAACCATTTGTGAAAGAAGTATCATCTATTCACTCGGATAATTTATTTATTTGGATGCTGCTATACTCATCAAGTGGATATGATCATGTAGGCTTAATTTAGTATGATATGATGGTAAAAGTATAGCGTCAGTTTGTCAACGGCAGTATTGTTCCATTCCTTCGATGATTTTAAATAGCGATCATCTATTGCGCCTTACCTTTTCTTATTGGATCCATTACTCCTACCAAGGCACGGCAAACAACTTGTAAAAATTTCTGTCATCGCTGTCTTTGGCATAGGTTTAGCGATTGCGGTGTTTACCTCTCAAGTAGACTACTATCAGGATTACTTTATTCGATAATTAGCCAACCAGCTTGATGATGATATTCTATAATAATATTATCTTATCAGAGTTGGAAGATTTTGCCCTTCACGTTTTGCTTTACTGACTGCAAGTATAATGACTGATGATAGTGATTCTCTATCAATATAAATGGGATCATCAGCCTTTAATATACGCTCACCTATATCCTCCTCAACTTCTCGATAGTTATCCATATTAAAATCAACGTTGTTCGAGCTCATCTCTAGCCATGTTCGCCGATCCATTCTGAGAACAATCAATATTGTCTTGGTCGCTATGGCAACCTATCACCATTTATATTTAGCTCGATTGCGAACTCAGGGTGCTTTTCTCTGTCTTGGTTTATTCGCTGTGTTGATACTGATACAATAGTGTACACTTGATACTGTACAGTGTACACTAAGATCTCGCCATTCTTTAATGAAGGCTGCTATGATAGAAAGTCAAAGTCTTCTTATTCTCCTACTCCATGCACTAAGAATATCTTTCAGCTTTATTTAGTAATCGTCAGCTGATCCAGAGACTACTCGAGTAATCCCTGGCAGATCTCTAGTGAGTGCTGCGCTCGGAACAGTGTCATCAATTTCTAGATACCTTTAATAGCAGATGAGTATTGTCAGAACTAGAGCCTGTTCAGACTGATGTCCGTCAGTCCAAAACGTAAGATTTCACCTCTGCCTCTAGAGTGGAATTTTGAGTAGCCCCTGGTGCAACCCTCGGTGCAATTACTGCAATATACTAGACTGTAACTGTAGTAGGTAATTGTGGGACCGTTGTTTTAGTTCTGTTGTCGTAATCACTTTATTCTATTTGCCTGATTTCTTTTCATTTTTATGTATTGCTTTTGGAGCATTGACAGATCGATGTTCTTTTGCGTTACTGGCTTAAAATATAGCACAGTAACGCAATACAGACAGTACAGTAGATCGATTTTTATGGGCCTACTCTACTTTCCAGTGTTCAGTACACATTCTGGTACAGTGTACAGTGTACAGTATATCTGAGTTCATTGACTGTACTGTACACTGTACACTGTACAGCACAGTAGAGTACAGTGCACTCTACAATACGGTACTATGCATTGTAAGTGCTGTACTGTACAGTACACTGTGCAGTACGGCCAACAGTCTACAGTCTACAGTACTAAGACTACTCGATGATTACATCAAAGTACTGTACTGTAGAGCCAAATAACGTCAGCCTGATTTCGTGGTTGAAGGTGTGGATGAAAGCACCAGCCATGGATACTACCAATAATAAGAAGAAGAAATGGAAAAAGAGAAAAAAGAAAAAGAATGCAAGACCTATTACCGAATCTAGGTTGGTTATGACCTTTTTTTGAGCTCTTGTACTATTGGCCTGATATGGTGATGCAGGAGTTGATGCAGATACCTCATTGCGGAATTGTGCAGCTGCAATGGTTCCATTCGCATAGTTGATATGCTAGCTAGTAGTCTACTGCCTTACAGCAACGCTTGGTCTATCAGCATGATTATTAAATCAGGGATTACTCTATAAGAGAGAGACAGAAATCGACCGTTCAAGAGCAAATTGGTGATGTCTCTCCTTTTAGTAGTCCCTGATTAAATAGTGATTAATATAGGTATTTCTGTACAGAAATTATCCCTTCGTTTACTAACTGCTTTGGTAGTACTTCACTCTACCAGTAGAGTAAATGCAACTGCTTTGTATGGACCTGACTGCAGCATGCTCAAGTTTTCTCATTAGCTCGTGAGAGAATTTGGAAAAATAAAGTCAATAAAATGACTTCACTGCACAAGTGTACAGTATCTGTACTGTACAGAACGGAGTATTGGCCAATTGAATCTTTACAAAATCTCAATGTTATGATTGTTTCAGTTCTTGATTTGTAGAAAAACAAATTAATAAATTTGCAGTATAATGTTGTAATAGCTAAGCTATTCTATTGTTTACCATTCTCTTAGCTACCAAATTCGAAAAGATGGCCAGTTAATATCAAAAATTCATAATTTAATGAAAATGATGGATAAAGTCAAGAGCGATACCAGCATCAGTAGCGCAGAGCAAAGAACGAAGTTGAGCGATCTGAAGAAAACGCTTATTGAGGTAGTTCTACTTAACTGGTTTAATGCTGCTATATTGACTAGCCTTACTTTGTATCCAGTAGGCAATTATTGCCGGTGCTATATTCATTGGATGAACGATTTCAAATTATATTGTTTTTAAATATGTTGATAATGATTTACCAACAAATTTGGGACCTTGTTTACTGGTTTATCATTGATGCAGCTCATATTCATTGACTCACTTCGTCCTTACTATGCCATTAATACTATTAGTGTGGCGGATTTCAGGCCTATCAGACTGCCTCAAAATTAGGAGAAGAACACCACGGCCAACAAAATACCTCTAAATGGATTCTAAAGCAAATGAATAAACTAACAATACGTCCATCTACAAAGGTCAATATATAACAATGCTGTGAATATAAACTAGCGATGAGATTACTTTACATTGCATCATGCATCTTCTTTTCTTGGCTACTACATTGTTTGATTACAATGAACTATTAATTTATCATCAGGACGAACGTCTAAAGCTGCTCGATGTTGGTGCTTTGCAAGATAATTATGTTAATCAAAAGTCTTGGATAGACTGCACAGCCATTGACATAAATCCCTGTGATCAGTCTGTTCAGAAAGCTGATTTCCTAACATTTACGGTGATTTTTAATGCCAGTATAACAATTAAATTTCTAATAGATTTCCTAACCTTTGTAATTGATTGCAGCATTAGAGTAACATCTTCGTTTAACTCTACAGTGTTACTACAGAAACTTAGTACTGACCTCTACTATTCATACAACAATCACTAAGCCATTCATGACTCAATGTTATAACATTTAGGAAAGTAAGAAATTCGAGGTGATTATACTAAGCCTGGTTATAAATTTTATTGGTAATGCTGCAGAAAGAGGTATCCAACAGATTACTTTTAAGTGAGATTTTAGAAAGATTGTTTGTCCCTTGTTAGTACCTAACTATTAAACATTATGATGGGTATATGATCATTCCTGTTTAACATTTGAAATCTTACTAGGAAATATGTTAAAAAAGTGCCGTAAACTGTGCAGGCTCGGTGGCTATGTCTTTGTAAGATCTTTAAATTGAATTCTAGTTATTCTGTCAAATTTATTTTTTTTATAGTAGTACAATATTATAACTGTTATCTGTAATTTCAACATAAATATCACAACATAACATGATTTGGTTCTAATACATTGGCGGATTATTTTGGTCCAGTTTATTGTCCCTGTAGCGTGTGTGACCAATTCAAGATATTTAGATGATAAATTGCTACATCAGATATTCGAATCTTTGGGATTTATCAATTTATTTAGCCATTCTAGCCGAAAGTTAAGCTATAAAGTATTTCAACTACAAGTTGAAAACCCGAAATGTAGCAGGTATTTCATTTTCTACAAGTTTAATTCAAAAGTTTAATAGTCACCGTTATGATCGATCCTATTATGAATGTAGTTTCCCTAAAACCAATGTAAGAACAGGAAAATCACGAAATAACTTTGCGATCGTTCTATAACCTATAAATACCTCTATTGGGTAAGTTTCATTATAATCGATGTAACTTAATCGCTCGGGTTAATATTTTAGGTGACCCTAACGCTTTTCTTTTGCAGGAGAATCAACTCATAAAGGCATACAATGTACTTTTCTACAGTGATTACAAGATCAATTAATCTCTAATTAGCGCCGGAATGGATCATTTATAAGATATGATCCTACTGTATCATTTGAAAATTATTTAAGGCATAAATATTATACAAGATATGTGTACAAAATGGATTAAAAACACTTTGATATCTTTTATTGATACGCTTATTTTACGTTTTCATTAGACTAAAAATCTGTGCAAGATAATGTACGTATAGTAATTTAGGAAAGAATAGAGTAAAAATTGTATAGATAAATTTTCTAACTAGTACAGTATACCGAATCTTCTTCTATTGACAATGAAAATTTATTAGCATGGGTTGTACTGACACCTCCAAAAGGAATATTTTCATGTAGGATTATACGCGAATATACGTATTCATTTGTACAATATGCAACATTCGTATGGTTTAAGGTATTTACAATCTTTCGGTAATGACTCGTATGAGTAAATGTAGCGGCTATGCTCTAGTCGCTGTTTTAATGTAATGTAATGATGCTGTCTTGAGCGTGAGCTTTCTGTCGAGAAATTGTCCCCTATTGATGTTAGTATGCAACACTGTAGTCGTAGAGTTACATACTTGCATCCACCCGCCATTACCTCGATTGCAAACAATATCGTACTATTGTATGTATGAGGAAACTGTCCAAGTATTGATCCTATAGCGGTATTTGTTATACAGTTATACTGTAGCATTAGAATAAAGCAATACATTTGTTCCATAGACATCAATAAAGCCTTAAATAAATCGAATCTCAGTATGATTATATGATGCTATGTGCGAGATGTAAGCCGGTCTGCTAGTGCGCGTGCTAAGCTAGCTGGCAACACAGTACTGTAGTAATGAATTAGGAGTATTACACAGCGTGAATCAATTTAACTTTCATTCCAATGTGGTATCTCATTTGTAAATTGCTACTACGGCGTACCATTGGATGATAACTCGAAAGATAGCCCATGTAAACGGCATGGGTACAAAATCACTTGATGCTTATGGAATTCATAGCGCAATAGGTAGAGTTATTCATCATGGAAAGAGTTGGGCTGCGGGACAAGCTATGATAAGATCGTTACATTCTACTGCAGTAAAATATGTATATTTGTCATAATTTGAGCAGCCATACAATACTCCTATGCTATTGTATAAACAATGGCCTGTCGCTCGTATTTATCATTTTTTAAAGTTTTCTTAGGGTAATGCAAATCCATCGAGCATGCTATTTGCAGGAGTATTCCGTTATTTAAACGTGGAACTTCTAGTAGCTATTTTTACGCATGATGTCATCATTACAAGGTATTTGTTCCACAGTACAGTACAATGCGTAGATTCCACTGTACAGTACAGTGTACAGTGTATAGCACTCTAGAAGGAAAGGTTATCAAAAAGTGGCTGAAAAATGACCGCACGTCACAGCCCAGATCAACTGTCAACCCACCCAACCGGCACTACAGTACTGTACAATTGAATCTCTGACCCACTTACAGTACTATACTGTACAACCAGTACCGCCGTCATCCAAAACGAGATGCACTGTGCCATACTGTACTGTAGTGTCGCAGTCACGTGACTCACGTCATACTAGTACTGTAGTACGTGGTTGAAGCGTCATACTGTACAACCGAACGCAAACGAGACGTGCAGTAACAGTACATTGTGCAATGCTGTACTGTCGTACTCAACAGTAGTCACGTGATACGGTGCTGGACGTGGTCAAATCGTCGTACTATACATTGTACAAGTGTACGTACCACCAAACACAATCTCCGTCGATCGTCACAAGCAAAAACACAATAGCCATTCGGGGCCAGCAGTGAACAAGGAAAAGCTGCACTTTCAAAGAGTTTCAAAGAAAAATTTACACTTGTTATTGAAAAAAAATCCCAATTACAGTACTATATTCAAGACTATCCCATTGCTGGTCTTCCACTTTTTGACAGTATTATCCCGTTTTATGCCGTAAGCAATCTCAATTGGGTCATAGTAGTGTAGGCAATTGGATTTTATTTTTGTAACTAGCCACGGAAATCTTTTCAATAAATGATTCAATCGATAATTTAATCAATTAATCAGTGTGGAGAAGGTGGTCGTCTACAGCTAGGGACAAGCGTTTATTCTACTAGTTGGGCCTTGAAATTTCTTGCAAGAAATTGCCGACAAGGATTATCTGTTGTCTCGACAAAGTCAATTGGAAGGTACGGCTAAATGTACTTGCTTTAGTGGACAGTATGCAATTCAGTAACAGGGTTGGAAAATACCACTACGAGATGCAAAAACATACGTATTGATAGTATTATGATACAACGTTAGTCATCTCTCCTTGTATGCATGGTCTGACTGTGAGTTCCATGATAGCAAACTGTCATATCTGTTTGCTCGCCTTTTGAAACTTTCTTGACGATTGTATCGACTGCTTTGAGTTTGTTCTTACTATTCTATAACGCCATAACGCCGTAGAAACATGTTGAACGTTACTTTCACCACCACAAGCAGTAGTGTCTTCAGCTGCCCAATAGACTCTATAGCACCGTTTTTTAATCAAGTGAATTTTTTGCTATTATATAGGCTCACTGATCTTGCTGTCGTGCAATCATAAGACTGTTTGTCCTCAATCTATTTCAGTAGCCTGGTTGAACACCGTCATACTCCTACCACTAACTTGTTGCAGTGGTAACGTGAATATAGAATAATTTCCCAACTTCTCTTTCTGACCCAAAGTGCACTTGTGCTGTGTTAACATTTACTCACAGGTAAGAGCAAAACAACTTTATAAACATGCTCATTTCACATACGTTTAACCATGGAATGTCACAAAATCATGTTTTCTCATGCTCTATGCAATAGAGTATAAATCTCTAGCTATGCATATTGACCACTACAATAATAGCTACCAAAATGGAATCGATTAGCAGTTCCAATTTCCAGTATCAACTGCTTCAGTCATACAACTCATGTTGAGTTATCACCTTTACTGAGATAATGAATATAACTTATATAGGGCAAACGCCATTCGTGTCCTGTGGTTTACTACAGTGCTGTTTGAATTAACATTATTTTCATGGCGAGCGAGAATACGCAAAACGAGAAGATAGAGTTGTCCCCAACCGATCAACTAATTAAAGAATTTCCTAATGTCGATCCAGCAACGATTTTGGCCTGTTACGAGCAGGTAAATATCAATAACTTAAACCTTGTGTAACTGCTATTTTTATTTTTTACGTCAGTCGGTTGAGCCTACGTAGTATCGAGTAGCATGTCTGGTTGTTTTGGGCTATAAAATTAAAAGCACTAATATAGCTTAAAAGTAAAAACACGAAGGAATACTTGAAGATTGCTTTTCAAAATATTTCCTCTATGGTAAAATGGTAAAATCCCTTTTTTTCTCTAATCTCGAAGCGCCGTAGAATTCATTATTGCAAGATTTCTTTCCATAGTTTAGTATGGCTTTCACAGTATCGTGCGATACGATGCCCCCCAAATGATTATGTCCTCAATCGGACCGTGTCTAGTCGTGGACAGACGGACATGATGTCGTTATGCTGATTAATTACTAAATAATTATTTCAGAGTGTCAAGATTGACATGCAACCTGTAAAAGTTATTGCTGCTTTTTATACTTTTGTAATATTTTTCCCTGGGTGCAGATATTTATGACGATGAAATAGTACAAAAAGCGAACGTCTTCTTGTTATGATAGAGATATAAAATTGAAGCCTATGCCTTACATATGTGCATATATAGAACTTCAGAATGATATGTTTTTATTACGTAGTGATTTGCTGTAAATAGTAGTTACACTATATATTTAAAAGAGTGTACAACGATATCAAGTGACAGAAACTTTTTAAGTTGAATACATAAACACGTTTTGAATGCTGCATTAACAATAAATGCCAATTTGTGCTGCTACATAACTTTAGAATTAGAATCATTTAGCGATACTCTAAATATAGTCGATAGTAAGTACTTTGTAGTGCATGGCTGACTGGTTCTGACGCCTTCTACCATGAAATCCTAGATAAAATGGCGCTTGCTTCGTCTTTCACATTATTCTTGATGTAGCCGCAAAAATGCAATAGGCAAAATTGATATTATGCACTAGTTCCCATAGTTGTGTCATCTGTAAACAACATATTAAGTTATCCAAAGAACTGCTTTCGTAATCACTAATTTTTGGAACTTTTTGACTAAACAGAGCGGTAACAATTTAGCATTATGCCGTCAAATTTTAAGCGGAGATCATGAAAGTGATCCAACACCAAATCCTGAAACTCCTCGGCCTGATAGATTACATATCAGTTTCTCTCATTCTTTGATAATCAGTTCACCACCCTCAACACCGACACCATCGGATACGATGCGCCCTATCCCATCTGTATCTCCTTTCGATGACGGAAGTCCTTGGAGTAACGCAACATCTGGCACTACCAGTGAAGACGAATCGGGTACATTGAATGCTCAGTCGCAAAGTAGGTAGCCTATTCATCTTAAGCTTTTAGTTTACTCCTTAGCAACGAGATTTCAATTTAGTCTTATACAGTAATACTACAACATTGGAATTATCTCTCAATGGATAGTAGTTTTAAAGAATACTTTACAGATTTACAAATCAATTGCTTCGATATAAATAGATTATCTTAATGTATTTAATCTCAATAGAAATTATCACCAACTAGCATTATTGCAACGAAAGTATACCGTTGGTAGTAGAGTAATCAATATATACCTGTAAACCATGTCCTGACCTTTGAATTTTGATAATTAGCGTTGTTCGTAAGTGTAATGAAATATAGTTATTGATGCTTATAAGAGTTAGTTTCACAAGTAGCGCTTCGGTAGCTGCTCTGGAAATTACATTGAAGCTATAAGTTAAATCCTGCAAGAACATATACTATCATCATTTCGCAATCATGACACGATCACAAGAGCATATCGATATTGATAAATTAGCTAATATGTTTTCGTGGTAGTATGAAGACAGCGTAATTTTTAGATTACATTACTTTATTTATACCGGTACAGATAACGTCATTGAAGTAACTGTTTTTCAGTAATCAGTCGTACTTCAAAACAACAGCTGTAGACATTAGGATCTAGATGCCTGTGTCAGTAGAATAAACAAGCAATGTTATTTCATATCATAATTAGACATTGATACTGCCTGCCTTGATAATGATATTAAAGATTGAGTAAAATTTTTCATTATTTGATATACAGATAGAATCAGAGACCAGCTCTTTAGCTTAAATGTTACCAAAAAGGTGAGTAATGTCTACATCGATGGCATACTTAGTATGAGATTTAGTTTAGGTTTGTTTTACTAACGACTGTTCATTATACAACAGCGCATCGAAAGGAAGGAAGAAGAATTACAACAACTGAAAATTGCTATTGAAGAAAAACAGCAAAAACTCCAATTATCGAATGAAAGAGCTAAGGCTCTAGTAAGAATTTCTATTTTCCTTCATCAATCTCTTTAAGTTATTTATCAATAAGTAATAGGAATCCATCTTTACTTGAATAATGCCTAAGATTTATGATTTTAATATGTTGCACTGTATGTCTGTCAATATTTATAGTGTACTTTACGGCAAATATTGTTATTATGCTTTATCACAAAAAAGAAAAATTTCATATGTAACGATACATATAGTCATAACGATAAATGTGTTGATTGGAACTATAATTAATTCTGACATTGATCTTATTCAGTGTATTGACTGAAATTATTTGAACATTTCAATTCATGTATAATGTGTGGTACTGTATAAAAGTCTGCTGGATAACGTATTTTGCCTTCATCTAGTCTGTCATAAATCTGGATGATCTAGTACGACTAAGTCTTTAAGTAGGATATTAACTTTCTTCTATTTGCTGTCTTATTTAATTTTCAGGCAAAGAATATTGACATATTGAAAGAAGACATCGATTCTCTGCAGCGATCAATTAGATTATTAAGTGATAGGCCAAGTATGTTTAAAATTTCGCTATTTATTAAACAATTCTAGGGTATTGATGGTAACGGCAATTTACTGGCGCTGCGATACTAATATTAACATTTAGATTATATATATACCCATTCATACATAGGAATAGCTTGTATAGTAAGTAATTGATGCCAATTTTTGATTCCCTTTCGTATAATATTGGTATATCTGTTTCTTATCCGTTAGCTACTCCACAATGGAAATGCAGCAGGTGTACATACTTAAATGATTATAGTTTGGTAAAGTGCGAAATGTGTGAGCAGCCGCGCCATCCCGAAGACGAGACTAGTACAACAATCCCGTCAACACCACCACCTAGGCCGCCAAGGCCGCAAATTTCGGATAAACCACATTATCCCTATCAAGAACGGCAATTCTATACTCCTCCTAGTCCGCCGCCACCTACATGTGCTCCACTTATTCCAGCCAATTCGGCTGAAGGGACCGAATTTAATCATCAAGGAAACTCGAGAAATTTTTTTACACATCAATCTATTTCTGAAAGTACACTTCAAAATAATCAATCTCATCGCCCTGCAAACTATGGAAGAAGTAATTCTTCAGCTAGCTATACGTACGGATCCCAATATCAACGGGCTAATTCGTTCCATGAAACTAGGTGATTGCATTAGGGTGATGTCAGCGTATTAAATTTTTTGCAAAGAATCGCACTTAAAATATAAAGTTCCAATCTGCAGTCATAGGCATGATCTGACTCGAAGGCCTACTTTTTGTTAGATAAGGAATGTTTATAACTGATACTCAACTAAACTTAAATCATTTTGATACTTTTAGTATAAAAAGATTTTATACAGATTCTATAAGTTGCAGATTGGACACCTGTAAAGTACTTTAAATTGTAAATATAGCTTCTTTTGAAATGGAAGCAGTGATCAATAATATCGATTTACATACATTTTATCCGTCAGGATTGCTGAACCTTTGTAATGTAATATAACCAAGTTTTTTAAGATTGTTTTAAAAATGATTTTTTATTTGCGTTTGTAGCAATATACGGTGTAATTGATGCATTTATGTATACCGTATATCGTGTGTACAGTTTACTATGAAATTCTGCACTTATTAATGATTGTAAGGCTACTTAGCATCAGCACAAGTTATTTATTAAAATTACTGAAATATAGCATATGATCCTTGTTAAAAATCAACAAGAATTTGAGTATGAGAACGTGCTTGCGCCGATGTGATATATTTAGCTATGGTCTATTCTATGCTTCAAAAAATGTTGTAACCGACTACTGTGTAACGGTATGTTAACGTCTAAGCCTCTTGTTATGATACTTGGCGGATATATAAATCTTTGTGATACTGACAATCATTTGAGGAATGATTATTTGCGACTTTTTATCTATAAATATGCTACGTAATTTGTTTTGCATGATAATCATTATTAATGCAGCTACCATGGCACAAGTGTACTTTGCATATATATGTAATATCTACGTGTAAAGCAAAACTTCTAAAAAAAATACGAAAGAATCGATAGTTCAGATATTAACCACTGCTAACGGTTATTAATGCTATAAAAAGTTGACTAATTTCTCATATTTAACAAATGGTAACAGCATAGTAAATGATGGTACATCATCTGTAGTTACTTCGTTCTTTTATACATAGTACACATAAATAGATGTACTAATATGCAAATACATAAAATAAGAATAATTGTAAATAGTTAAGCAAATGAGAAATTACAGTTACTGAATTGGTCTAAGATTGTAATATATCACAATAGTGAAAGTTAGTTATAGTATCTATGCGACATGAGTACGATCACTCATGTAGAATTGATCTGAGCGTAACAGTGTATACTTTTACATATGATAGGTAATAATAAATAAACATCTTTAGTCGAATCTAAACAAATTGATTTTATACGATGTCGTTAGTTACGCAACACAATTCTCCATCAAACTTCATTAGAAACAATATAAAATCTTCAATCAGATTTAAATAAACAGCTGGATAATAAGTTTAAAAAGATACAAGTATAAATATATCCTTGAATGTACATATATATCAAAGTAAATCCTGATAAAACGCAGTTTAATTACATTTCAATAGAAGATTGGTTTTGAGTTGTGTTAAAAAACGTGAGATAATTACGATAGTTATTTGAAAACCATGACGATCTTGCCAAAAGGTACAAAAATGCCATAGCCAGATTTACTGAAAACAGTAAGAAATGATACAATTATTGAAGAAAAATCATAATCATTTATCTGAAACTCAAAGAAGATAGATCAATCTTATGCATATAAAACCAATAGCTGAAAAGACAGCATTGATAGTATAGCCAGAAGAAGCAACAAAATATAATGCATTATGAAAGTATACTATCTAATGAAAGATAAATAAGTATTTCACCTACCAGTAAAAGTATCTTTTGCCATCATGTTTGCCGTCGCTGTTTCCATCTACATTAAGAAGAGTTTGATAATAAAGTAGTAGATCATTATTATTCCATGTCTAAGTATTCAACTAAATGAATCTACTAACGTTATAGCCATGTACTAACCTTGAGTATCTAATAAAATTCCAAAATGTACACCAGCCTTCCCACCTATACTGCCTTTATATTTTACAGTTCCAACCACTGATTTTCTTGTTGTAACGGAATTAATCCTAACAACGGATCCAACCCTGATCTCACCTTCATTCATCGGACTGCTAGGCCAGCCTCTGTAAGTATTGAAACGACTGATATATTATAGCAGCACAGGATATCATTTAAGGTTACATGATAAATGTATTTCACATAGATGATGTAATCGTTTGCTGTAGGCATTACTAAATAGGCTATTTGTCTAAAAGAAGAACTCTTAGTTATCAAAATATACTTGAGAATTAAGAAGGATAAAAAGCTTTATGTTTTATTCTATTTATTCTAAATATTCATATCCTTCATTGCTGACAAATTGCTTAATGCTACGTATGCTATCTATCGTAAATCTCGCATATTTTGGCTTGAGAAAATGCTTAATGCTATTAAAATAGTTACATAATAATCATATATTACGCTAGTCTATTGAAGTAGGAGTAATTTTTACCTTGGGCAATCAGTGTTAGCACTGGATGTTATTTCTCCAACTTTTAATGATCGAGGAGACGAATAACTTGATCTGTCGCGGTACCGAGGTGATTCATAGGTGCTATAATCAGTCCTGTGTAAACTACCACTAAGATCTATATTAAATTCATCATCATCGGTAAATTTCCCAATATTAGAGGATTTGGGGAGAAGTATATCCTTATCCTCCGCTAACTTTATTCTCTCGTCCCTTTTAGATGAAGTATAGCTTAAGTTATCATTTGCTAATGCTTTGAAATATTTTTCGTCAATATTAGAGCTTGTATCAAAAATGTTACTGGAAACAGATGTTGTTGAACTATTTCCGATTGAAGATTGCATAAATTTTGATGAATCTGTATAGTATCGATGAAATGATGATTTCGAACCCATAATTTGGTTAGAATGAAGACGATTATCTTCGTGAAATTTTATTGGTTTACCGACATCATCCTGATTATGACTCTCTAAAGAATTGACGGTTCTGCTAACATCTATTGCGGTACGCCAATTGTTATTATCAAATTTTAAATCCTCTAAACCATAAGAATTCATAGCCGATGAAACTATGCTTTTGTGATCAAAACTTTCCACGGAATTTGGCACAACTCTATCTGTGTTCGATTTTTGATCTATTTTAGAATCTTTCTTCAGCAGCTCATTATCCTGATACATTAATATTTGCTCATTTGAAAACGACCTATTTATCAATTTATCAACATTCGAAGCTTCAGCAGACTCAAGGCATCGATTCTTATGGGCATGATCTTGAAATATACCTTCATCATTCATGCGATTAATTTCATCTTTAGTATATTTCAGCTGAGAAGCCTCGGCTGTTCTTTCCAATGCTAAATGGATATCAATGCCTACATTAGACGACCGACCGATCATTTTTTTACGTTCAGCAAGTAGTAATAGATTTTCTCGTCTAATTAGATGTAGCTGAGCGTTTCTATTTTTAATATGGCCAGCAAGAGCGTTGTTTCTTCGACGTAGTTCACGATTTTGTTGATTCAATTTGTTAATTTGGAGTAAGGCTTCGTTCATGCTTTCAGGTGCTGTAGAATTTTGCATATCAGAATCGTCTTGTTCATTCTATAACAGAAATTAGGGATAATTTTATGATGTTAGTTATAAATTTAAGCATTGATCCGTTAGAGAACAATGTAAACCATCCTTTAATTTTCTACTGAGGAATACTAAAAACCAAATGGTAATTTAGTAATTCATGATTCAGCAATTGATGCAAAGACGTAGAGTAGTGATAATCCGATGTTGTTTAAAATTAAAAATCCAATCTACACTGACAACACTTTCATTATCTATTGATAGTGGCTAATAGTTATTTACCGGTAGCAATTCTTGCTCTTCCTCTACAGCAACATCCATTATTTTTTGTTCTAAATCATAAATTTGTTGAAGTATTGATTCTGTTGGATGATAACGATACGAAATCAGATCGGAAACTGGTGTTATATCTTCGGTTGCAGTCAGGCTATTTGGGCGATCAATTTTAGTCAATGGATCGAACTATCAATCATAAACATCATCAAGAATAAAATTAATCAGTGCAATTCAAAAACACTTTTCACGTGCAGCAATATATTAGTCCATCGATTAGGACAAACCTCTTTGTTAAGATCTTGCAGCAATGGTGAACTATTCCGATCAGTAAATATAGCATCTGAACTAACATCCACTTTGACAACAGAAGAATTATCGCCTTCGCTGGCTTCCACATGAACTTCTGTAGAATTATCATCGTTCTTTGTAGTCTCTTCCACTTGATCTATAATAGTAGATGGATAATTTTCGGCATTACTTTCATCATGGTCACCTTTGCTTATCATATCTTCGCCATGGCTGATAGAAGACAGTAAAGAATCTCTATTCATGTTCTCCTGTTGATCTTCGATTGCGGTTTGTTGATTTAATTCTTGATCTTGTCGTTGTGTCTCAACTATTTCAGCAGGATCTTGTATTATTCCTATCAATTGATCAGGGGCTGGATTATCTTGATGATTTTGATCACCATTCAAATCAACAATTGTTTCCATCGTTTCTGCCTCAACAATAGTTTTATTTTCATATTCATCATCGGAATCTATTCCATGGCTATCATTCTCAATAACATCATGTTTTTCATCACGATGATTGCCAAGATCGTGATAATTCGCATTAGGATGATCATGATGTTGGCCATTTTCTACTACTTCTTGGCTACCGTTAACAAGAGTATCTTCAATTAAATAAGAACTGCCGTTCATACTATCAATACTATTACCATTGACAGTAATTGATGGCTCTGGATCGGTATAGCCATTACTATAATGATGAGACTCTGATAAATCGTTACTTAATGTATGATTGCTGTCGGTTTCCAATGCTAATGCTTCGTCAACTTGACATGGAGTCACTGATGTTGCTGTAAGATTATCTTTCCAATCATCATTAAAGCCTTCACTTGATGGTGAATAACCACTCTTGTCACTAACAGGACTATTTAACGTATGGCCGGATAATTTATTTTCAGCATTATCCGTACTTGTAGTACTAAAGGATGAAAATGAGCTATGTCGAGACGGCGATAATGAATTGGTATTGCTTTCTGAATTGCCCGAATAAGGCGATATCGTTTCCTTTTTCCTATTATTGATTTGTCTGACATAGATTTGATGGCCATAATTGCCATTGGATGTCTCATTTTCTACTCTATAGGGAGTTACATGGCGTGGACGTCCAATAAATCGATTGGTAATCATAGGTGGATCACAAGCAGTCGGTGATAAATCATCTGTGCTCGAAGTATCGCTGGCAGAAGCAGTACTTCGACGATAACGAGCTTGCTTTAGGAATGGATTGCTAGCTGAAGTCGTTTTCTTATACACTTTAATGGTGCTCTTCTCTTTCATTTGTTTAACGTCGCCATTAGATGGATTATAAGATGGTGAAATTTCACTAATATCAACGTTGTCACCGGAGGACATTTTTCTACAATGACAATAAAATAGCTCATTCTAGTTTACTGAAAGGATAGAGAACTTTTGAATTGATTTTTCTAATTTTAAAGTATACAGCGATCGTGTTTCGTTGTCATATTTAAAAGAGAAGCACATTTAATTATAGCCAACAAAATCTGTGATCCATTAAGATTGCAAAATACAGATACTTCAGGATGCAAGCATACCAACATATGTTTATATAGAATATTTACCATAAAGAATATCTTACCGCTTTCTTCTTGACTTTTCAGTAAGTAGAAAGGTTTCAAGGGCGTTTAATCTTTCCGACTCTGCATGGAAATAACAGAATTGTTATAAATAATATTCATTGCAATATAAAATTATTATCACTTCGGATGAGAAATCGATCAGAATCAGTATATGGATGGCGCATTCTTTATTGCAATCACCGGCGAAATTCGATTTTTCGCTACTTTTTATGAGATGTTTCAGTCGTATTTTGAAGTAGAATACTTAGATATTTAGTAAAGGCTATACTCGTATTTCTAGCTCTATTCGAGTTAATATCGGTCGTTAAGGATAATTTGACGATAGCAGTACAATTTTCGAAAAATACTTGTTAGGTTATTTGATTTACGCATTGAAATCCGCTTAGTATAAATAGGAAAATAGAGAATAAAAGGGGCTGAATAGATAGATATAAACTTGAACTTTATCCCACTAACTATAGAGAAGCCGAGATAACTTGACTGAAATAATATATTGTAATAATCGCATGAGTACATCAGCAAAGATTAAATATTCGCATGATTTAGTCCCTTCAAGTTACCAATTTACAGCCAATTGAAATAAGTGCAATATTGACCGAAATTTATTCTGATTGGCTAAGGATAGATATAGAACAACTTATGATGGAAATTTATATATAATAAACGGTCAATACTATAGCTTCGCCAGTTGGCTAAATTGCATTACCAAAACCTTTAATATAAGAATTTCGGGACAGCGCTTTAATTTAACGGTTACGGAAAGAGTCCAAGCATTAAATTAAAATACTTTCATGTCTCTCTACTTTCCATGTAAGGCCACAGATGAGCAGAAAACTAATATTTTAAAGTTAAAAATAACACGATTTATTGTAGGCTATTTTTTAATTAATTACGAGTATTACAATGTTCAATACGTTAATAAAATGAAACATTCAATGCTGTCAGGAAAGAAATCTTGTTGAATAATGAACACTTAAGCTGCAATTAATTAGGCAAGAGCAACAGAGATTTAAAAGTTGGTCACAGCTGGAATTAATTTATATTTTAATTAGTTTTAGCCAATAACAGCAAAGACTTTTCAGATCGGAGTGTGGAACTTATAATGCGTTCAGATAATCACTTTAATGTAATCTATAATTAAACAGTTATTTCTATGCCGTTTCTTCAATTATTATTTCTACCGTTAAAGTGAATTAAAGGAGTAGAAAGCAGCTATACATGATCAGATAAATGACTTTAAATTTGATGAATCAAGTGACTAAATAGTCCATCCATCTTGCTTATCAAAGACTTAAGTTTAACTTTAAGGCGATTAATCAATATAGGCGATGGAAAGACTATCCAATATGAATTAAAGTCATCTTGAAATTAAAATACGGATACACAAATACATCTCTAAATTTATCTCGATTTCTAACAGTTTTATATGACAAAATTGTCCAAAGAAAATCTTCCTAGAGCTGTCTGATATTAATTAAAATTCTTTCAAGAAAGCAGATGAAGGTCTATGGACAACTAAATGGATTTTTTAATATTATCTCGATTTCTAATAGTTTCAAATTACAAAGTTGCCATAAACAGTCTTGTAAAGACTGTTTATTATTAATTAAATCCTTTTAGAAACTAAATGAGAGTCTACTCATTACAACATAGATTTTGATATTACTCCGATTTCTAACAGTTTTACATAGTAGAGTTGTCGAAAGTCTAGCAAAGACTAACTAATATTAGCCAAGCTCAAGTCGAAATGAAATACGGGCTCAGGAATGATTAAATACATCTATACTTTTTCTAACAAATTTTATAAAGCAAGGTTAGCGGAAGAATGTCTAGTAGAGAATCACCAGTATTAATTAATTATTAAGGCCCTTATTGAAATGAAATGATGGTATACAAATCCAATTTTATAATATCTAATCCATTTCTAACAGTTTTTGCATAGCAATATGTTAAGAGGAAGAAAGTCTTACGCTAATCCCGACAATATTTTAATTTTTCATGACGTTAAATTTTCTAGATAGCAATACTACCGTATAAAATAACAAGCAATTCATGAATGTGTTATTCTCAAAATTAAACTGGATTAAAACGTGTTCACAGTAAAACAAAATTAAGTGATACTGAGAAAAAGTGTTGATATGAAATATCGTTCAATAATTTTACGGAGACTTTGACAAATTTTTTGCCCTTTAAAGCGATAAAATATGAAATGAGGCTTATTAAATAGCCATATATGGCGTAATTATACAATGAACATATTAGTCACTTTAATTTGCGTCTATGTAGACTTGTGGATATAAATTCTACGCCTTTAAATATACTACAAATTGGACTCATTGAAGTTGAAAGATGAGTGTCATTATTGCTTCAAAGCTTGCTAACTCTGTTCCGATTTAGCAGTTTACGGGGAATGATACTTTAACTTAATCTACAATTAATCTGTAAGTAAATAAATAAGTCTTGACTAAATAATTCTTCTGCATGGGATAAAAGAGATGTTAACCCGTCCTGTCATTATTATATAATCACAAATTATCGAGTTGACTTGATTTTTAATTGAATTATGCTTATGTATAGAAAACTAAAGGGAACCATTTAGATCTTATAAATAAAGTTCACTGTTCTATTCGAAACTTTACGCTTTCCCGGAAGAACACAAGGTAATGAACACAGTTTGAAAATATGGAGATCTCTATCATTATGTCATGGCTGATAGCGACTTGGCTACAATTTATCATGTTGAATGATCCCTAAAATAAGGAAGGAAATGATGGAAGGGAATGATCGATTGCTTATCTAAAAGTAACCGAATAAGCTGTTTAGACAACAAATCAAAGTAATTTGAGTAAAGAAGTTACAAATACGGCCTCATCTAAGTAATAAAATAGCAATAAAACACCTTGCAATAATTTAATTTCAGTCTATCATGTAGGATTATCCATAAAATAAGAGATAAAGATGATAAAATGAAGCGATCGACTTTATATCTAAAAGTATCCGAATAAACCGATAGTACAACAAATCAAAGTAGCTTGGGAACATTTGTGAATCAAAGCTGTACCATATCTTCATGGAATGGCTAAATTGCTTACATTTACTATGATAGTCAGCCGAATTTATATGGCTATTCAATTAGTTATTCCTATTCTAATCATGACAGTCGCTTGAAATATAACTGTAGAATTTTAAAAATAAAGTAGGGGAGCGTATCCAAAAATGATCAAGTAAATTTTTATTTACAAGAATAGATTTAATAACATCTCTCTTCAATACTGCCTCATAATCAAGTTAGAGAATCTATAGAAGGGTTGTTTAACCACAAACAGTTATGAAAGAAACCCTTGACAATCGGATATAAGGAAATTAAAATTATTACTCAAACTCTAAGGCAGAATTGATTCATGCTATACTAATAGTCCAACGTAAAGTGAATATGCGATACGTTTATGTCAAAATGGCAAATATTTTTACGAATGCTTAGGGATAGACACTCCATGTAGTCAATCTAAGCCTGTTTTAAGAGTGACTAACCAATGCTAAGGTGTTAAGAAAGCGACCACATCTATCCTTCTTCCCCTTTGAATGATCCTGGTTGTTAGAGAAGATTCGCTTTAAACATAACCGGATCTTAACCGATCCATTTATTTACTACCGTAATGAACTGTGATACAAGTTACTCTAATCGCTCGCGATACTTCTAAAGCACAACACTCAAGATTGCTAATGAGATCGATTTAGTTCAATTTAAATTTTCATCGTTTACCTATACTGCGTACAACAAAAAGTCAATAAATCAAATAATTACGGTAATAGATCGTCCTCCATGCCGAGATGGATGGCCGCCCATCGCGTAAACGTATTTGTCTAACTCAGTTACGTCTAATTGCATTATAGGTTTATAGAATTTAAACAAATTTTAGTGCTATTCAACGTCAATCTTTAATCAAACAGATAACTTTTGCTTTAACTTTATCCCATTATGTCAAAAATTTCACGCTTATACGAATTATCGTAAGGAAAATCGATTCGAAAATAACGAAAAAGTAGCCATGCCTCGACTCAAACCACAACCTGTCTAAAATTCCCTTATGGAGTGCTTTTTGTCATGATGGAACAATACACCATGGCTCTTCTGTTCTCTTTCTACTAATTACAAATGAAGTCGAAAAGGGAATTTTCCCAAATGATACTTTCAACGTGTCATTTCGTGGTCAAGATGGTATCAAGACGGAAAGAAATTGATATAAAATTTAAATCGATTTACTCCAATCTTCATCTCATCCAATCAGTCCGATTAATCAAGGCAGTTAGTCCGCGATCCGATGCAGTTAATTTTTTAAATTACTCCTCTAATTGAACATGACAGCATATTTCGGTAGGAACAAGCTGAAAACGATTTATTCCTATAAACTACCGGTACCTTGAACTTACCAATTTTTACTTTTGATGACAAGTTATCCAGTCGATAATGATGGAGTAAGAAACGATTATCGTTATTGTTCACAAGTTTGTAGCCAAAGTTATTTTAGTATAAATGTATCGCTTGATTAGCTGCAGACAAAGGTGATAATTAATGTTTATAATTTGCCATGTAGGATACTATCGATAGTTATTATTTTAGTTAATTTACTGTTCGAGTCAATATCCGAATGGATAATCACCGATGGACATGATAAGATTATTGTATAGACGATTCTAGCACTGTCGATGGGCCTATCTTAAATGGATTACTCAGCATACAACTCAGACTACTACGCGAAATTTCTTCAATAGCCATTAATCTACTGTACGTGATGACGATGAAAACGCTAATAGAAAGTTGTAGGATAATCTAAATACGTAAGCGATACTATGGTTGGATAAAGTGTTACAAGAATAATTTTACGTTGAAAAGTATGTATTTGATCGGGCTAAAATAATGATGCTATCCAATGATCTTGCTATCTAACTATCTGACCAAATTGCGTATAAAATTTTAATTTTAGAGTTGGACTGTCAATATGAATAAATTAATTTAAACGATATTATTCGTTAAATAGAAGCTATTCGTTATGCTACTCTCAAGTATTTTGTTTTAATAAGTTGTTTACCTTGGCTGTGCAACGTTTCAATCTAAATTGATCATCCAATGATAAAGTTACTATGGTGGAGATTAAGCTTTACTTGTTAACTTGTTGTTGGAAATAGATTGATCAAGAAGGATATTATCAATGAATTGATGATCGGAGAGTAAGAGTGTAAAAATACAAACAAGGTCAAATCATTAACTGTGCAGATAGTATAGGAATGGAAGTGATGAGTACGATGAATTTGTAACATAACAGTTCTTCTTAGGAGTAATTGTAATGATTGAATTCTATATTAGTCAATAACATTTCTCGATTGAGAAAAAAGAATGGCGATTACAAGATGAAACATGAGATAGTGTGTTGATGACTAGGATAAAGATTATCAAGTGCAACAACTGTATAATAACTTGGAAAACAATAGAATAACGCCCCAAGTCAAAGTCGACTACCATTAAGAAGATTGATGGAAATGCTGCCTTGATGATCATCCTAGATCAACTAGATCGCGTTGTTTATCCTATAACATCATCGTCGGTCAATCAAAGTATTCCACTTGTATCATTTGACAACACTAGTCTCTATCACTGGGTGATGATTTAATCAAATAATAATAGATTGGAAATAATCGATGATTGATTGATTTAATCATTTATAATTGATAAAATAGCTTGAATTTGAATTATATCTTATTCAATAGAGACATCAGATAGCAACGCCTTCTATGATGAAGAAGAATAGTAAATTTAATAATCTATTGTATTCTGCCCATAAGTTCTCCAATAGATCAATGTTGCAATCATGGATATTAAAACTGACCATAGTATAGCTTATCTTTCTATTGCCAATGTTGACATTGGTTAGATTGGATAAAAAAGACGCTAATAGAGCAATCTAGACGCTCTAGTGATAACTTACTCAAGTATAAGGGTCAAATATTGAATGCGTTTTATTTCTACTCCTAAGTGACTTGATATCGGCAAGTTCAAGAAGACGCGGCGCCAATCACGTGATAGCTGAGCTTCTCCTCTACTAGTTTTGCAGTCCAACGCTCATTAAGTGCAAATAAAATTATTTAAAATCCATCCAAAGTAATTTAAGATATAAAAATGATCGAAATTACCATATGCAAATAGAGAGCCAGGATCGGTTGCCGGTGATCTTGGATCCTGCAAGTACAAATGGCATCACTTGAAATGAAAAATGTATCCTAGATAACTGGGAATATATGAATGATCAAAATTGCCTTAAATGAGTAAGATAATCAGGAAAAATATACTGTATAAGAGAATGAAGGCTCAGCATAGAGTCGTACATTAAAAAAGAATAATAATAGAATGTTACTGTTACGAAGTAACTTTTACATAACAGCGGTAACTTAATTATCATTAGATGACCTTTAATTGCAATTTACAGAAAACGGTTTCATCGACTATGTTTTATATATCTGTATTAGATAGATGCCTATTTAAATAATCATTTCTAAGATACGATCATACATAATTGATGTTTATGTAGCAGTACTATAGACAAGTCAATCTTTTCAATAAAATTGAACTGTGATAGCTAATAAAAGAATTCCAAAGTGCCATAAGTAGTAAAGTTTACTTCATTACAATTTCTTCCAATCTAAAAAAACTGAGGAAGGATTACTAACGTAATAATTAATCTCTTTCTCTTCCTAGTCCAAACTACAAATTAAGCAGATATAAAGGCCTTCCATCTAGTAAGGGGTCTTTAAATGCTATTCAAAGTTGATAATCATCGATGTTCTAAATAAGTATTATAATGTAGATTACTAAGACCTTTCTAGTCTAGATCATGGCAGGTAAAGACTTCATGCACACATTATACAGAATAATGAAATTTTATGTCGCTATCTCGAGGGAATTCATAAGAATTACAAATAGTACTTTAGATATGTAGATGAAGATATTACAGTCTATAAGTGATTATCTTTCCCTTTCCAATATATGTTAGACATGGACTCTTACGCAAAATGATGGAACGTTGAAGTGTTATTTATATTTATTTTTATTGATAATCATCATGATCATTAGGAGGTCTGTACATAAGCATCATAAAGTAGTCAGTTCCATTCCAGCAATTCATGGTACTTCGACACCAGTAAGTAAACTGAAGAATCAATTATACACAAAGAATAAGACACGACGTTATATGCTAGTATTTTATAGATTAATGACAATCATATAATTCCTGATATACAATATGCCCTGGGCTACTAATAAATCTCTTGCTAGTAGTTCATGTTGAATAGTCGCAAGCTCATATCTAAATTGAAGATAATAATTTAACGATATAGAAATCGAAACTCTGCATTCATTGATATTTCAAAATGGATAGCAATCGTACATATTAATTAGTATATATTGCATATTTGCACAGCATATACATACAATTAGATACCTTAATACTGATAAAGCTCTTTATGTAGCTCATAACTGGCATATTGTAGATTCGTAAGAGCAAGTTCAAAAGAATTGTTATTTACATCTAGAAAGTAAGGTATTGCATAATAATAAAATTTTACGGATTGACCAGCAATCAATTTACAGTAGTATCACAGCAGCCTTGCACGTCATTTGACATGGATTACGAGAATAATGAAAACTCTTAAGATTTATCACTTGATCAAAACGTCATTACGTCATTACGTAAGTTGCATAATCACAGTTTTAAATCTGCCGGCACTCGATTATCCTGCTGTTTCACTGAAGGTAAATTAGGCTAGTTTAAACTGAAATTATAAAGGGTACAAATATTAACGAGTGCATTCTTATGACGAATTAATTTCTGTATACATCCAACGTTCTCTAAGTGTATCCATAGGGGTTATTACACGACAGGAAATGCTCATGTTAGTACTTCAAAATAAACATTTTCCTTGCATTCAGGCATCATTAAACATGATGAGACTTGAAGTCTAATTACTTTCAGCGATATTAACAAAGACATATACAAGGGACACAGTAATGGACAAGCTAATAATATAGTTAGTGCATATAGCTATCAGCTACTGCCAGTAAATAAATTCAATTGAGTAATCTATAGAATACGTCAGATCAAGTCACAAAAATTGCTATAAACACCTACGCATAAGATTTACCACCTTCTTCCAGATAACGAAAATAAATATCGCTCGAAATAAGCGACTCTGCGGTGCAAATCTAAAGGAGTAACTTTAATTATCCTAGAACAAATATTTAATAAAAGATTATAGGACTTATGAAATGTCATCGCATCATTTTGGTCAATAACTACATCCTTTTTATAATTCTTAAAGGGGCGAACTTTATAAATCTCATCAAAACTACAATATTGAACGTAATAATTCCAAAATCCGTCCTCATTCTCTGACGAAAGCAAAACATCAAGTTTCGACAGCGGTATGTGTCGAACTGGCTTAAATGCATTTTGATCATTAGAACCACCTGATACAGGAAAAGTGGATAGTTTTGATCGATATTTCCTAGAATCTAAATCAAGATGTTCGTCGTCTGAGTGTCGGGAAGAATCCGATAATAAAGCTTCAATATTTTCAGCATTAATGATCTTTCTGTCACGGTTATAGGCCACTCTTGGTTTCCAACTACCGAAAACCTTTTCTCGACAATATGCAATGTAGCGATCCCAATCCTTGAAATATTTTAAACTATCTAATGACCAGGGTAAACTAGCTGTAGCATTACTGAAAATTCTAGCTTCAATAAAATTGATCCATTCTTCCCACACCCAAACACTATCGCTGAGATTACCATTGTCAGCCACGCTCTCACTGTATTTAGCTAATAAATGCTCTTGATTATCATCCAATACATAAATTGATTTTACTACAAGAATTACAATCGCCATGGCTGCAGTGCTGATGCAAAAGGTAATGGTAACCATGTTGCTACTTTTATTTGTTTTAAAGATATCACACTTGGATATAATGATGTTCACTAAACGATGAAAGACTGGAGGTAACTGCAAATCTAATATAAATCTTCCAGTCAGCAATTGTAAATCAGGAATAGGAAACGGAGGTAACTCAAGAGCACGAGCAAGGTCCTTCATGTAATTTTCAATCAGAGTGGTCGAAGGTAAATACTGTTTACAAAATGTTAAGTGATCGGAAGAGGAAAATTTCATAGATGCTGGTAGAATATCAGATACATCGAGATAAGAGACAGCTCCGTCTTCTATCCAATTAATAACGTCACTCGGCAATATTAGCTCATTTATCCAACGCAAGCCTAAGCAGCAAAACACAATAGTATAGCACTGCTTCATCTGCAAAATCATTGCAAGTTTACCTTTAGGCATACTTCCTGACATAAATAAATCACTGACTGATCCAGAAATAATGGACGGATCGGGCATGCTAATTTGTGGATCATTTTGGTTATCATCATCAGAATCACTACTGATATACGATTTATCTGGACTACCCGCTGTTGGTTCGTTAAATGGATCATCTTCCGGATAGAAATCGTCCGAAGTTAGTTGAGAATTCAGAAAAGCTGAATCAATTACATCGAGTTTAGCAGGTTTGCGTTTTCTTTTTCGAGTTTTTAACGGAATAGGATTGTCTTTGGTAACTTGAATGACATCTCGATTCGTTCTGCAATATAATTCACGAATCGTTTCTTGTTGAGCCTTTGAGGTCGATTCTTGGAATGCAATTCCAATTTTTTTCAAGTATCCAAACCATAGCTGTCGTACGACATGTTGTAACTTTGGATCAGCACCTAACTTAATAAGTTGTTCAACTTGTGCTTTGATAACAAAAGTGAAGCCTTCGCTAGTATACCATATCACACCTTTATCTACAACTTTTCTTGGCATACCACCCAGAGATCTTCTACTTCGACTTACTGCTCGTCCAAGAAGTACTGTAGCGCCTTCATCACCAGTAGCTGATTCAAAAACAGCCTGAGATTGTGTTCCACATAGGTCACAGTAGTGATATCCGTCGACTACCTCGAATGATTGGCTATCACATATCGCACACCTTGGCATTACTGAGCTGAGCGAGCGAGCGAGCGAGCTGGCTAGCTACTTTGCACGTCTTGCATCAATCCAATTCACTATCCGCCAGAAGCAATAACGGCTTCCCTTCTCGCAGCAAAGTCTTGCGATCTTGGTAACGATTTCCTAGTAATCTTTAGAGCATAGATTACACTCAATGCTGTATCTAATATGCGTTTACAGGATTAGGGAGCGCATGATGGATTTAAGCTTGTCGCCGGTTTGCTTTGCAGCGATTAATCGATGCAAGGTTGCTAAGAAATGCGTCAGCTCGACCAGAGCGACACCCACCAGTGCTTCATACTGTACTGTACATCTCACTTCGGTTGTCATGCTCGAGTGCTCGATCTGCGCACGAGCATTGTCGTCATTTGCAAGGGTGTCTTCTGCAGCTCATACAGCCCGTTCGCTTTGACTGCTTTACTATAGAACCTCGACCTGTACTTGAGGACCATAGTAATTTCTACCAGTGCTTCGTGCGATAGTCGTTTCACTTGGGGTCGTATGACATCTACGGTACAACCTCGAGTTTGCGATCCCTTTAACCACAGTGTAGTGTACGATACACGTACTTGTGGCCCAATGTATTACTGTACTTTAACAACACTTTAAGTTGACTGTACTAGACTGCATGCGATCCTGTCGAGGCATCCCTGTGTCCGGGCTGTCTGTATACGACGCTTTCCAATATAGTAGCCTATTCATGAGTTCAGCCAATACAGTATTGACTCGTAGTTTAGCACCTTGTTGGAATTGTATGGACAGGAAGCACATGCAATACAGTATTCTATAACCTCCCGGCATCACCAAGGCTTCCAGCCTGCAAAGTGGCTCGGCAGCATACCTAATTTGTCCACAATGGCTTCTAAGAAGGACTCCAAGAAGAAAAAGGGATTCGCTGACGATGAAGAGATCGAAAAATATACGCAACTGTGTAAAAATGTAAGTCTAATAGTGATATAGAAAGGCAAAACTGATCTTAGACGAGTGTATTGCACAAGTATGCAAACAATTTGATCCATGATTAGACTTTGATGCAGAATTGTCCCTTGTCGAGCTATATAGCTTAAATAAGCAAAAGCTATGCAGATAATTGTTAAGCAAGGCATTTCTCCTCCATCATAGCTGGTGTAATATGAATTCGTTACAAAATGCGTGTTAACGAGTACATTTAATATATTCATATTGGACAAGATTACAGTCTTGGAATGATGACCCAACTTTGAAGTTGTCTCCAAGCATTGCCATGTCCAATTGATACAACCATAAATGAACTACTGTACACGTAGAACACCACGTCGTATAATTAGGTTGTTACTTCCAGGTATCATCAATAGCCAAATTTCCATAAGTTAACAAGTATTACATAAAGTTATATCACTACCTCATTAATGACGCCATTAGACGGAGTACAGGCATTATTTTGCAAGATAGGAATACTGTATCTCTGCTGTATGGAACTCCTAAATTTGATAATGTTACGAGCTACTGCAATGATTAGCAGTGAAATGGATATTAGCTAGGACAGTATAATATCAATTGCTAGTTGATAATAATGAATAAACTGTATATTGAAACGAAGTTGATGCCATAGTATGGAGTAGCTGCTGTAGCGCAAGCTAACCCCAGTAGTAATGATAGCAATATTCTGACGGGTTTGCATGTATGCTACTGGTTCCAAACTGATTGACTTGTATAACGTGGTGATACTCCAGTATATTTATCGTTTGTAAGGATTTGCTAATCTGTCCATGTCAGATAGACACAAATTTATTTGATCTCAATCATTGGTGCAGTATCAATGGAACATGATATCTTAAGTTATTCTCATTAACTCATATAAATCATTTTACATCTATTACTCCCCATTGTAGATTTCGGTGGAAAATCCTCAAGAATTCACAGACTTTCCTCTTTCATCACGAACTCAAATTGGTATGGAATACCTTCACTACTTGGATTATTAGATCAAATGTCGTATACATTAATGTGCTACATTACCGTCTTAAATAAGTTGAAAAAGTTATACATACCATATATTACTCACTAACTAAAACCATGGTATGGCGTTGCTGCAATTCCCTCACAGTTTGCTTACTATACGACGGCACTGTCCTAGTAGAAAATTGCTTCAAGTAGGCCATACTATTTCAGTTTACCACAAATATTATATATGAATTAAATCGAAAAAACTACATAGTCTATATAGAACGTTGCTTAGGAAGAACTATACAAAAGATAGAATTAACCGATGTCATCTATTCATGTATTTATTCTGTTATTATACCTAGCCTTGAAAGAAGCAAAGTACGAGATTCCAACAAAAATTCAGAAAGAATCAATACCTATTGCTTTATCTGGTCGTGATGTGTTAGGAGCTGCGAAAACTGGTTCTGGCAAAACTTTAGCCTTTATCATACCTGTGAGCTATAGAAAAATTCTCATCATAATAATACAAACAATAAGAAATATAGTCCAGTTAACAGTGAAATTCGTGCAATGTATATTCAATGTTATGATATTTAATATATCATCCCTAATTGTACTAGATACTAGAATTATTGTGGCAGCAGAAATGGTCTTCTATGGATGGAATTGGTGCTATAATCATTTCCCCAACGCGAGAATTGGTTTGTAGATCTTTATAGATGATAGGTAAAACAGTCGTATTTGAAAAAGAGTTATTTATATTGTTATTATTATTATTATTTTAATAAATGTGAATAGGCCTATCAGACATTCGAGGTTTTACGAAAAATTGGTAAAAAACATGACATGTCTGCTGGCTTAGTCATAGGTGGAAAGGTTAGAATTAGATTTTGCTAGCTGGCATATCATCTATTATTTTCACCTGATCGACTGTATTAAAAGTCGCTGTAGCTTAATTTCAATAACCTTAAGAGTTTATAGTTATTAAATTATATTCAAAACAATTTATTACTTCATAAAGAGTATGGAAGAAGAACAACGTAGCATAATAGCTACTAACATTATTGTTTCCACACCTGGTCGCCTACTGCAGCACATGGATGAAACACCGAACTTTGATTGCAATAACTTACAATTATTAGGTAGAAATCTTGCAATGACATCATTTAATAAGTAAACAAGTTATATTATATTTAACATTGTATCGCTATATGTTTAAATACGTTCGGATTAATAGTGCTGGATGAAGCTGATAGAATATTAGATATGGGATTCGCGGATACTATGAATGCTATCCTTGAAAATATTCCTGATGAACGTCAAACTTTATTATTCTCGGCAACGCAAACTAAGTTAGTTTACTAATTGCTCGCAATAAATTAGAATGATCAATTTTAATTCTGTCCTAGATCGAATCAGCGTTAAGAAATTTTTACAATTACCACTATTTACTGTGTTTATAATTTCACAATAGATCTGTGAAGGATTTAGCAAGGTTGAGCTTAAACGTAAGTATCCTTATTACCCAGTACATGCAGGAGATTCAAAAATTGTAATACTAATGATAACGACTTTACAATAATAGGAGCCAGCGTACGTATCTGTGCATGAGAATTCTACATCAAGCACACCGAGCAGATTAAAGCAGGTAAGCTCTATGAAACGTTGTAACTTTATATATATATGAAATCCTAAATTATCTATATTTGAATTGGTCATAATTCGTATAGAGTTATATGGTCTGTGAGTTACAAGACAAAATGAACTTGCTGTTTTCTTTCATAAGAAATCATATAAAAAGTAAAATTTTAATATTTATGTCTAGCTGTAAACAGGTAGGATCACAATAATAAATTTTCAATTCAATTAAATACCTATTACATATCAGCTATCATAATTTTATTTCCATTCCTGTTAGGTAAAATTTGTTTATGAAGCTTTCCGGCGATTGCGTCCTGGTATACCACTGTTAGCGCTGTATGGCAAACAGAAGCAACTGAAACGAATGGCTATTTACAACGAATTCTGTCGAAGATCTGAAGCTGTATTATTCGCAACAGATATTGCCGCAAGAGGCCTAGGTAAATGATTAAATTATAAGGCTAGCGGAGGCACGTAATTATATTACTAAATCTATTCCAATCTTAAACACCGTAACTAGACTTCCCAGCTGTAGACTGGGTTGTGCAGCTCGATTGCCCGGAGGATGCAAATACATATATTCATAGAGCTGGAAGAACTGCGAGGTTTGTCTTAAAGCCGATACTTCTCCTGTACGGCACTACTGTATTTCTTGTCTAAATCACATTCCTGTTATATCACAGATACCAAAAAGATGGTCAAGCATTACTTGTTTTGCTCCCATCAGAAGAAGAGGGTATGCTTGAGGTAAATGAACAAATAACTGCAATAGGAGAATTTTATAGCGCTTTATGAGATGCTAAAATTACCTTCTATTGTCGTTACAGGAATTGAAAAAGAAAAAATTAAATTTAACATCTATTCGGTTGGATTTATAATGACATGCTTTCGGTCAATAAATTGTCGCGCTAACGCTAAGTATTACTCGTTTATTCCCACGTTAGTGTAAATCCAAGCAAGCTGATGTCGATTGGTAAAAAGTTAGAAGCATTGTGCGTGAAGGATGTCGAAATTAAGCACTGGGCTCAAAAAGTAAATTTAACTATTAATTAGAATTTCGATGTTAAATTTTTTGATGCTATCAAAGGATTAACGTATGAACTATAACTTTACCATTTTAAATCCCTTCTAGTGCTGTATTTCGTATGCTCGCTCCGTTTTCCTGCAAGGCAATAAAGATGTCTTTGATGTGCACAAGCTACCTATGGAGGAATTTGCAAGGTCAACTAGTTGATGTCTTACTTGCAACTGTGATAGATTTTATAGTGTGTGTTGAAATCCATATTAGGTAACTTTATGTAAGACTTAAAAGCTTCATATTCGACAAATTACACAGATCGCTGGGTTTGATGAATCCTCCCAGGATACGTTTTATGAAGGTTTGGGAGCTAATATACCATACTAATTCAATAAACTGTCTATCCAATACGAATTGCTATCATCATGAACATGTCTTAAAATATTTAGAGACTGGAAAAGAAGATTGGTCCTTCTAATAATAACAAAAATGCAGACAAGGCATCGCTCGATTTCGAAAGTACGAATAAAGTTAAAATAGCAGACTTTGAGGATGAGGATGAAAGTGACATAGAAGAACATGATGACCTTCTCGTCAAAAAAAAAACCGGTCATCATGTGACGCATGCCGAAATAGTACGTTAATTGCATATAATTGTAATTGTTGTTATTGTAGATTTATATAGTTTATAATAAACTTACTTTTGATCAATTTTTAAAAAGAATGTGCTGGATGAAGAGGAATCTAAAGTACAGAAAGTAAAGACTAAAGCTGCTATTGCAAAGAAAATTTTACGCAAGAACATCAAATCGAACTCGAAGATCATTTTTGATGACGATGGAGAAGTGCGTAACAAATACATTTACGTTTCACAGTATTATAACGCGTGGCTGTTTGCGCGTTAAAATTAATTGATGCTGATCTATTATATAGGCTGTCCATGTTTCTGGAGTAATGCAGACATCGGAGAATACCGTGGATTCTACAGAAGCCAATATTATACCTGCCAACGATTTGAAGAATGTACCTGAAGAAGTCGGAGGCATAGATTTGAAGGAATCTAAAGCTATGATTAAAATGGCTGACTCACAAGATAAAAAAAGTTACCGAGAAAAGATTCGAGAAAAACATCGTGTAAGGGTTTAACATAAATGATTAATTTACACATTTATACCAGATGCATGCCGTTATTAAAACTGCGCATTTGATAATTAATTTAAAACAGAAAAAAAGACTAAAAGAAAAAAATGAGCGACGTCTTGGACAGGTATATAAATCTCGTCATTAATTCTTAATTTAAATAATAATTATTATTAATCCTTCATCCTGTTATAACTAGAATCAACCAGCGACCCTGTCAACAGGTGTAATTAATGACCCTGATACATTATCACCAAATTACGAGAGCTCACCAAATGATGAAGAAGTTGAAGAAACCAGGCAAGAACTACTTTACAATCGTTACATATTTATCAAATAATGGTTTAAATTATTTTTACTTTGTCATATTCTGTTATAAATTTTGTTGCTAGCCAAGTAAATACTCTCTTCTTCTGATATATCTAACTTCTGCTTTAGCCATCGAAGCAAGAAACGAAAAATAAAATCAGATGCCGAGTTATGGAACGATAATCTAGCTGATGATGAAGCATTAGCTTTACATTTATTACATTCTAAGAAATAAAGTCGAAAATTGCTAATCTTTCAATTTGTGCCCGGGCAATAGCCGATTTATTCACATGTATATGTTACATTACATCTCGGAATATACTTCAAATGATAAAACTGTAGCCAAAAACTTTAAAATATGATTATATAAATATTGCCCTTGTATATTTATAATACATGCTACGCATAATCTATTTATTGGTTTCTTTTACAATCATGGCGTCGCTCAGATCGAGTTGATGATCCAATAGAACTTTTTTATATGCAGCACAAAGTCTCTGAATTTCTTCCGTACTCAGTTGCTGTGGCCGCAATTTCCAATCCACATCTGCCTCTTCAAATAATTTCAGAGAAAGGTCTACATCAGTTGGAAATAAGTACCTATTGATTTATTTTCGAGTAAAAAAATCTCATTGATATGCCGTTCTGTATCGAATTAGCCGTCGTAAATTGTACATACATATATTCGTTATGAGAAAATACGTGAGCATAAAGTTTGACTTACTTAGTGCCTTTGATTACAAATTTTCTACGATGTCTAAATAAAGATTTTGCAATAACTTCGAGCGTGGTAAAGTCTATGTCAATTAATGGGGTAATTCTCGGCGTAAAAGTGAGTACAACGGAGTTCACCTAAGGTTTGGTAAAAAGCTCTATCTCTTATCGTCTTTCATTAAGCATAAATTCTGTAAAATGCTTCAGTACACGAGCGTCAAGAATTCTTTGAAGTAGCATGTCAAATAGATTACCTTAGGTGCAGGCACAAACGAAGACCCTTTGATAAGAAAACCCGGTTTAACATGGCAATAATTTTGGGTCATGATGGACAATCGACTGCGCTGTGATGTTTTCGGTTCCGCAAGTATTCTCTATTTCGTTACATCATATCCAAACGGATCAAATATTGATATAGATCATGACAAAATAAATACACATTAAGCTATAGCTGTGAAAAATTACCAGAACACAACTTAGATAATGGTATAATCAAAATTAATGTCATCGCTATGACTGTCTTATATGAACATCGATACCTGAGCTACTTCTTCCTGGAAGGTAAGTGTCATTTTAATTCTGCCTAAAGAGAAAGGTCCAGCATTTTGACTGATTAGATTCAGCCACTGAATTAATAAAGGCGTAGAAATGCTAAAAGGCAAATTTCCAATAATTTTCATCTTTGGAGATTCTATCAAAAATTAAACACCGCAGTCAGGATAAAAATTATGGATTCCATTGATTGCTGTCTTACAGTATTAATCCTTCTGTTGTTACAGTAATTATGCTGTAATTCATATCATTTGTCATTGCTTGCTTTTAACATACCATCATTCCATGCTTTCTTATCGACGGGATCAAAAGCTTTTATCATTTCATAATTTAAAATATCTGCGTATACAATAACCATACGACCATCTACGGCGTTTGCTAAAATCTGTAAGTGATGGGAATACTCTTAGAATTATTAGCATTTCCGGTATATCACCAATCAAAATGCAACATGAATGAAATTATTACATCAAGAGCTGGAAGAAATCGGCGATCTTTTTCTACAGCAACGATCTTAGAAGCTCCGCCAGCTATTATTGATCGGGTGAGGCATCCAGGACCAGCACCAACCTCACATACTTGATGATTCTCTACTCCTCCATCTAGCAGTACGATCTTATCTAAATGAAATTACAATATTCAATTATTAAGCTCAGTTTAATGGGTAATAAGGTAATTCCTGATGAATTGCTGCAGGTAAAAGCATCAGGTTAGTTTAATATCAAACGGAAGAGGGTATTTGCGTACTACTACAGCTCAATATAGCAAACGCACTGCTCTAAGATAGCCAATTACATTATGCACATGAACGACAAATTGCAATGGCCGATACTAAAGTGTTATGATTTTGCAATGGCAGAGTATAGCGAGTCATAGACTGCGCCTAAATGAATTACGAGTATCAGTAACCCACTGTCTACCGCAGAATAGCTACCGAAATTAAGAGTGAAGTTTTCGGCATGTTTCAAGTGAGATGGCAGATTCAGATTATGTATTGCTCTACTATTTTGTACCATACGTACATCTACTGTTATTTAAGTTACTTACAAGGTGACATTCAAACTTTCTGGATGTTGAAATTATATAATGAAAAAGCATAAACTGAATGTAGGCGAGTATGAGAAATGATGCAATCCACTTACTGGTTATATTGGAGTTGAGTAAGAAATTCTGGCTTAATTGTTTACTTGCAGATAAATTATGCAACTTTATGAGATCGCGAATAGTAGGTAAGGGTGGAAGTCGTATCATCGATGCCTATCATTATAATTGTAAAATAGATATTATCAGCATTTCAATTTATAGCTTTCTGAAGGTGACAATTCTATCTTAATGGTTGTTAGCGCATTTACGTTAGTATATTTACTTATAAAGACAGCAGCAAACAGAACTGGTTAGTATTTAAATTAATGCGTCTCTAAAGACGATGATGATGATTACTCGTATAACTTCATGGCTGTTGTGCCCGTTTATAAGCAGACAGCTGCTCCTGACTGACCAAAAGTTGTACAAGTCAGCATACTACACGCAAAATTCTCCAATGGTTAAAGTATGGCTAAAGAATTTATTGCAGCATCATCCTGAAGGTAACTAACTCACAGTATGTTCACTAAATTTAAAATAGCCTGGGCTAGACATTGTTTTCTAGATGTAACTTGGATTATACCATAGTAAAATTCATGCAGTCATATTTACGAATGCTTCAGCTGTACTCCATCGATTGATGAGTGGTACAGCATTAGGATGGACGATTTGCCACCAGTTTATATTACAAACGACTGACTACAATTAACTAATTATAGAATGACTTTGATGTCTAATGGATAGCTATCAACTTAAGTCGTACGTAGCAGCCTAGATATCCATATGATAGTCAAGAGAAATAAGTACTAAGCTGACAGAAGGCTGCAAGCTCGGTAGAAGCATCTCACTCTCCGTTTTGCAAATAGGCTAGTAGTCGATACTCTATTTGATCACTTTTGATCATAGTAAATATAACAGGATACTTATTAGACTTACCATACCCTAGGATGGTTTTAAAATGAGCCTCTTATACCTTGCCCACTAATATAACGTTGCCTTTCAATCCAAAATGATTTGCATACACGTCCGAGAAGTTGGATTATGTAGTGTTGAACGCCTTGTAAGAGGTGATCAATGCTATCACGTCAATTGAGCAAGTGGATGACTTTAAGAGCTAAAAAAATTGACAAAATAAAGTATCATTATAAGATTTCAATTAATAATATCGCATAATACAATATCTATCTTTCAAATTGGTTAATACAATCGAAGAAAATGCTCATAGCAATCCATTTCTGAGGTACCTTTGCAAAGCTGTGTGCAATAAATTCTGCTTGCTTGCACTGAGCTAAATCTCATCCTGTCCACATGGATACCGATCACAAAATGGATACAAATTGCTTATTGATTACCTCATGAGCAAGACATTATACTGTCATACAGCGAGGTTGTACTCTACCCTCTTTCAGCGTCCGTGGCCATGGAATGGAGGGTGGTGGCGGCAGTGCATACAAAAGCACTATAGTGTATCAAAGTGTGCGATACCTTCTATGACACACTATACGATCTCGAATAGCGTGATTACAAGGCTAGCTGGAATGGCTGGCCAATCCCAAGCTACTCGTTTGCATATTCATGCATGCTAATTTATTTCTTATTTATTCAAACAGTTGGAGGCCTTATTGGCTACTCTCTACTTCTACTAATGGCTATATTTCGTCAAAGCTAAAGTAGTACATCTCTGATATGGTGTCATTGAGTCATATTCAATACGAGTTATAATAAGCCCATAGATTATCCAAGTCAAGGTTCTTTAGGATTGTTTCGCAATGGGCTCTTTTATCCATTTAATAGAATAATTCGCTAACATGTGCATATAATTATTTCCCTATGACCATTCAATATTGCCTATAGTTGTAGTAGTATACTGTCGTTGATAAATTGCTTTCTTGGTATACTGTTATAGTACTACGATATTACCTACTAGAGCTGTGATATAGTGTACTAGAAATATAGGAAATGACCGCATTCGTATTGGTTGAATTATGCCTTGCTATAATTACAACGATAACTACATTATTTCTCTCCTATAATAGATAAGAATACATCATAATACTTAAAAAAGGAATTTCCTTAGAAGATTTGCTTGTATCTCGGCTCTCTCAGTAGAATTTTGTGAGCAGAGTGAAGAGTTAGACTCTGACGATAGCGCTACCAAAAGTGAAAAACATCAAGGGTATATCACGCAATCTTATCTGCTATCGAAAATTAGGATAGTATAAAATATCAGGAAGGAACTACTTTAGGAGACATATTCAACGGTATATACTGTTTACGTCGTCTAATCATCGACAGCAGATGGCTTATTACTTATTGGCATAACTCTATATAGGATTTATGACTAAATTATACTGTAGTAAAAGTTTTGTTTGTTTTATATCGCGTACCATGATTGGATATAACAGGCTGTACAGGAAGAGAAATTATAAGAAGATGCAGATATTTAAGTGATACTTTAAAACCCTAAACCTAATACTTTAAGCACTCATTGATCATCTATTTAGTACATATTAATCAATCCTCTTATCGATGAATTCTACCAAGTTGTATCCGTAGCTAACCGACTAAATTTCGAATCAATTTCGGTATATTTGATAGGAGGCTACAAAGTCTATTAATAACTGGCACACTCTTTATTATCCTACGCATATTGATGTATATTTGCATAGTTAGAGAGTATAATATACTGTATTATTTCTTCTTCAACAACTTTAGATTAAATAAGATGCTAAACAAGCTCATTTCATAAAAAATTACAATTATAAAATATAAAATTGAACTAAAATATTAAATAATCTGATTCCATATCAATTATACATCATCAAATTGAAATCATAAAAGCAACTTGCTATCATACAATAATAAAATCTAATATTTTGAAATCGATCAATTAAATTACGCTATCTCAGAATACATTTTTATGGTAGAAGAAGAATTCCAGTGACATATAATAGTCATTCATACCTGCTAATTCAAGACGAAATCAATTTTTAAGCGTTCCTCAGATCACAGGTAATAATATAGACAATAATGGCATTGCAATAAGCTAAGTTCAATTTATAACTTACAAAGAATAGTTCTTCAAGTATACCGTGAATACTCTTTATCACGACCACTATGCCAAAGGTATGCCTAGTTTTTACTAAACATGAATTAATTCAAGACAAGGAAAACATTTATCCATACAATTACTTGATTCTACTGGTGTCAATAGATACTATAAATCAGTAGTGGCTGAATCGATAGATTGAGTATTGACGACAAATATGTGATTATCGATACCCATATTGCTATTCCTATTCAATTTGGCTGCGTGATTTTGCTGATTGTTCAGTACACTAGGCTTGATTCTAACGGTAACTGATTTCTTAAAATTTCTTATTAAATGATATATTTTATAAGCAAAATTAATAACAAGTGTAATCAATGCCATTGTGGTCGTGCCTAAAGATATTGCACAAACTTGCATAGGACCTCGTAAAACTAAATAAGGAGGCATCATTCCAATGCATATTAACATGATGACAACTAGCGCATTAAAGGTCCATCGTAATTCTATAAATTCTTCGGCCATCTTTGGAGCTTTCTTAGCTAATACTATTGCTATTATTATCAATACACCTAGTACTGCAAAAGCAACAGCAAACCGTATGATATGCCTATTAGAGCAGTAGTTATAAATTATTTGAGGGGAAGCAACAAATTTGGAAACACTGACTGGGAGAAACTGTTGGATCATAAAGAATATAATAGCTTGCAGAGCTAATAGAGCCAGCATAATCATCAACCAAATAGCAACTGAATTATCATTCAATAACTGACACCAAGTGGATTTTACTAGTGATAAACGACATAAAAGTAGTATTCTTGTCATAAGGACAACGGTTAAAAATGCTATACTCAAGAATAATAGGAAATATACCCCATTGCATGAATTAACAGTAATGGGTTGCATCATCGTGATGGTGTTACTAATAACAGCTAAAATACTAATTAATAAGAAATTATCTAAAATATAGTATGTAGTGCAAGTTTTGGAAATCATTTCTGAGCGATAGATAATAATAATAATCCAAATGCATAGAAGAATGAATACTGTCAAACCGCAATAAGCGATGATTGCAATACCCAAAACATCTTTCGGTTGAACATGAGTAACTGGTTTAGCAATACAACTTGTACTATCAGGATTAGGCTCTTCCGTTTTTGAGCAATCAAAACAGACATCAGCATTCGTTTTATTCGAAATTTGATTTACATCACAGGCTACACAATTCCAACAGCAAACATTTCCGAGATCATAAACTCGTCGAGTACCTGCAAGGCAATCAAAGCTGCATTTGGATAACGGTATGGCTGGCTTAGCAGTATTACTAAACCATGCAATTTTTTCCTTATTAATAACTAATTTTGGACTCTGACAGATCAATTTACTCTGTTTATTTTTATTGCATTCCTCGGATAATCCATTCCAGTAACCGACATCAAGTAGTTTTAATTGATCACCTTGATGACTTCGTTGAAAATTTTTAATCACGTAATATGGAATTCCATTACCATAGCTGTTAAAAATGGGTGATGAACTATTTTGAAGATAAACTCTATACAAATAGGGGATCAATTTATCTGCTGGAAATAGATTGAAATTTATATCATCGCAGCTTTTATCAGTACAATTCAGTATGGCATGTAATGCATGAGCTACAGCTTGGACTGCTGTAATGACATATCCTGCTTTACCATCATTCTGATAGAATAAATCTTCGTTATGACATGTTAACATATCGCTAAGCGTGGAATTTCCAGTTCTATTACTGCAATTTATTTCAAACCGTGCGTTAAATATATCGTTTTCAGAAGTCAGAGTCGTTAAATAAGAATAAAATTGAGGATCATAATTATTTTCCAATGAAATAACATATCCACCTTCGAGAATGGATGGTTGAATATCTTGAACGATAGATAATGCATTACCCCATCCTGTTGCACCAATAAATACTTTACCTGTTAAATTTCTATTTTGTGCTTCTTGTAGCAATTGTTGAGCTTGATATTTATATGCAATAGTAATAATAGTAGTAATTCGTTCTTGTTCTTCCACATCGTCAATAACTCCTTTGGCTTGCTCTGCTGTTAATTTAATAGGTATATCCAACACGATAGGGACACAAATCGCATTTGCATTGGTCAACTTTAAAAATTCATTGCGCAAATTATTACCATAACCATCATCAATAGCAATTAAAGCAACATAAGTCCAATTGAAATAACGGATAATATCAAAAAGTGCCGCTGCTTGATGGCTATCGGAAGGAACCGTTCTAAAAAATGTCTTATAATCTAATCGATTACTTAGCTTATCTATTGTTGAAGCATAACTAATTTGTGCTATATTAAATGTGCTAAACAATGTTGCTGTAGCTATAGATTGCTCATTTCCATTCGTTCCAATCACAGCTGTTACAGGATGTTTGATTAAATTGCTGGTTGCCGTTTCATTTTCAGTGTTCTTAGAATTACATCGGCAATGCAAAGGACACAACGATAAAGAAGGAACATAGGAATAAAGTGGATCTCGTCTATCGTTAATGAATGCTAATGCTTGAGTAAGTGTGGCATCGACACTATTACAAGAATCGCTAATTTTATAGCCTAAAGTTACATTTGGTAATAATTTTGAATCGCTATTAATCTTTTGTATAGCATAAATCATAGCCTGAGCTAACTGCAGACCTTGGCCACTGATCTCATGGCATTGACCAGTTAAATCATGATATTTCAGATGGATATCAAAAAGACCTCCTAAAATAATATCTCCTGGTAAGGTTATAGAACTCAAGTGGCTTAGTTTTTGATGGCTGCTAACCGCTATAGCCATGATATGAAATGTTATCCAAAACGGAACCAAACAAATTTTCTTATGTAGAACAAAGCTTGTCGGTATTTGCATTATTCCTGGTAGCATTGACGAAATCCAATAATAGTTAAAAACATTTATAAGATTTTACTTACATTTGCGGCTAGCTTTTGTCTAGAGCAATCGATGCTGTTTCGATAGTCAATTAACGATGAATTTTGATCAAATAGAATCGATAATAAATCAAAACTACGACTACAGGAAAGGATTTTTTTTCAAATTTAGTCGTATTTAAAATAATCGGCAAACCTGATCTGTAAGAGGGATGGTTGATGATAGTAAAATTACAATCCTGCCTCAAATGGTAAAATTATAGTAGTAAGCCAATGAATCTCTTTCAAAATATTTATAAAAGAGTCTTTATACCCATTCTAATAGGGTATATTTTGATCGAGAATATGGCATAAAAATATGCTATAGTTAGAGTCCGCTTGAGGCCATCATTACAGAGTCCTTGATATTCGTATATGAAGATTTAGAAGCTCGAAAGATTCAAAAGAAGATTTGTCTGATAGCTTTCTAAATAATTTTCTATAAATTGATGATGTTATAATGCTAATCACTTGCCATTTATTATGAAAACATTTTCTCGTGAAAACAATTTATGATAAGTATGGTTTATGATTCCTCTCCACTAGATTTAAATAATAACATAGTAGGTGTAACTGCAATGTTGTACAGGACGATTGGTATCTAGCAGCAATAAACTAATTTGATTATAAAATAGCGTTCATTAACTGGTATAGCTCAGACATTAATTAATCTCTCTCGGTATGCTATCTAACGGCAAGGTGAAAGTACATAATAGCATATTTGCGTCATATATCTCGTTTACAAGAACACAAACATATGGTAACTTAATTTGATCTAGTTGCGATTTCTTCTTCAGTATTTTCGTTCAAGGTTAATAAATTCACGATTAGCGAAAGCTAAAGCAGTTTAGTGCTTTCAAATTTGTCGAGAGTCCTTTAAACTGTTGAGTTATTCGCGATTCAGGACTCTTTATACTAGTGATATAGATATCGCTAGCAATTTCATTACAGCTTTGCCTTGATTTGGCTGATGCTTTAACCCTGTAAATTATCCAGTCCAGCACCTACTACCACATGAACCTTCTGCGTCTGATCGATTTGAATTAATTAATAGTATTACTTGATATATTTATCAACCCTGAAAACTACACGTTCTAAAATTTCACTACGATTCGATGATAGAGCTCAATGTAAAATCTACTCAACTAATAATGTTTAACGCTTATTTTTATATGCAAAATTATTTAAAATTCAAATTGGAGATTGATACAAAAATTTTATTTACATCTTACGAGGATTAGTAATATTTGGCATAGGCAAATATTCCTAGAATTTTCGTTGAGAATTAAATTGCATCAAAACTTTTCGCTTCTCGTCTATTTAAATTCGTAGCACATAATAAATGCCTAAGGCTAGTTTCTAAATTAAAATCGTATAACAAGCAAAAGCATTGAGCCACACTGAACCTTTTTCAGGTCTGCTTAGAGTGGCTTTACCAGAAATGTAAATTCGAGAATTAATTAAAGTATATCATAATAAAGCCCAGTAAAATAGAGGAACGATTCTAATTTATATCTTTAAATTCTTTCATAGCTATCATAAATCATTATTAAAACTTGAAATCTATTGATTCCACTAGAAGTTCTATATGTTTCACTTCTTGGATTTAGCTCCTAATATTGCACGTAAAGTTATCAAGATTGAAAGTAAATCAGTCGGTATAACAGTATTTTAATTCAATTTTGGAAATAACCTTTGAGAATAGCTACTTATTGCCAATTTGTAAAGCTGAGTTTGTAACCTTTGAATAATTTCATAACAAGTATCAATAACTAGGCAAGACCTACTAAATTCACTTAGTTCTATTTGCTTGAAAAGAGGATAAATTGACTTTAAATTCCCATATAGTTTGTAAAAGTCCAGCTAAAATTAAATTACAACCATGAAGGGCACCCATACTGCTATGCAGCTGTCTATTACAATTTATTTGACTTGAAGGTTTATCAACGACACGAAAACGTCAATCATTTCCTTAATTTTATTTAAACTATTTAAGTTTTGTGGATGTGCTATTTGTCGAATTTGATTTAATTCGAATTATTAAATTCTTACTGCCATGCCATATGGAGATCATGTTATGTTTCATTAAAGGCTTAATTTTTCATAATCTAATTATTTCAGCATAAAACTTACCATAAACAACACTCGTGAAAGCGTACGTATGTGCATAGTTTATGACAGAAATACAGATCTCTTAGAGCGGTATTTTCAGTCCATTTTTCACTTTAGCCAACTACATAATTACCATTATTAAGCTAATCGATTGACACTATCTGATATAAAATCATAGACGTTGATGTATAGGTTTTATTTTAAATGTAGACAAAACTAGATTATAGATTTTACGCAACTAGAAATTTGTGCGGTAACTATTTTTCGTTTTAGTGGATTTCGATTGACTAAATCAATTATTTACAATAATATATATTAGTCACTTAATAAACACGAACTATATAGAAAGATTAGAATAGCATTAGGTTACAAGCCAAAATTTGGAGCAAGGTCGATAAAGCGAATCTATAATCTCATATAATTTTCTTGGACATTGCTCCCTGAAATATTCTGCAATGCACTTGAAAGCTGATAATTTACCCACCATCAAGAATTGAAAAATTTACAGCAATTGTATGTATTCTATTTATCTAGTAACTTTTTCTATAGCTTGACTGTGTAACAATTCGCTATACAAATATTAGTAGTTCTACAAAATAAGGCCTATCCCTTGATATGGGAATAAATTAAATTTCGAAGGCAACAGTTATAGATTCTCTGCCAATACATTTTTTCGAATTTAGGTCTATCATTACTTGCGATATTCTTCTTGGTAGCAAGATGCATGGTGAGCAGCATTTAAGCGAGTTCTAGTATCTTTATCGACCCGTATCCATTACAGAGTCTATTTTAATCAGCTAAAAGCTACTTCGATAAATTGTATTCACAATTTATAGAGTACTGCGCACAATTAATGGCAAAGAAGGCACTAAATTCGCAATCCGCTTGGGAGGTCAAACATGAGGAGATTTCTTTATGCTATCGACAATTAATAGTAATTGACAGCTTTTGTGATATTCATTTAACTAATCCAAGGAGGGAGTATTTGTATCTCTACTATTTCCCTATCCTAGCCTTATCGATGTCTATCATGTACAGTTAATAGTTTTAGGTAGTAGTTAAGCCGAGTTTATCACTTTTATATAAATTAACGTATTGTAACTTTATAAACGATATACTAGCCATTAGCTCGGTGTTTAAAGGAATTTATGCTTGCACACGTACTTTGATACTCCGTATCTATCATTAGTTGACATCAGCATTATACTGCATGTTTCTAATAGTTACAGCTTAAATAAAGTTTCGAATAAGTGCAATATAAACATGCATGATTATTGGCCACGGTAGCTGCTGAATATCGTTTATGATAACTTAAATCATACTGTTTAATATTTCGCCCCAAGGATTAGAGTACTTCAATGCGAATACTTATTATTCATTTTGAGCTAATTTATTTGATTTGTTCTTAATTTCCAGGCAAGATGCTATAGGTAAAGTTTAATTACGACGAGATTCAGCATAAGAATAAGGAAATAGGTCTAGGTCACTGATAGTGTTGACATCAACTTAAGACAAAATTCAAAATAAGATTACATGCGTAATCTCAGAAAATGGATAGGCACAAATTACCAGAATTAAATAGCCTAGTATTTATAATGATTTAATCTTTTCTTAATTTATCATGAACCATTTTATGCCAAAGCAAGATTAATTTAAGCTAGCAAGACATATTATTTCAAACTAATCAATAATAATATGATAAATTTAATCCAAAACTATACCGCATTTTTAAGGCGTTAGCCTCAAAATAAAGCTGTTAGATCAAGAAAATGATCTAAGCTTAATAGAGAGGATAAAAATTTTTAAAATTTGTTATCTGCTCTCTTTTGTAATAATAATGACTCGTATACCGTAAATATATAACAGATATTTAATCTATTTGACGATGGAATGATTCCAAACTAATTTATTAAAATGGAAAAATCATCAAATTACGTCTATATAGATACTTTACAACATAATTGAAAAAATTATTCAAAAATTAATCCTGGCGTGATTTTTAAGTATTCATCCAATGCCGTTAAGAATATAAGAATTGAACTACCATGACAATCTACGCTTGAAATATCCAAACCTATAACCCATTTAGTAATCTCAGTAATTTTTTGCAACTTACTGATTGTCTATAACAAAGGCATTTCATACGCAGCCAGAAAAATCCCTTTAATTATGCTGTGATAGCTTTAAGTTAAATCACTTTCACAGGTTACCTTGTTTGATTTACTGATATTTCCAGTTAAAAATGAGAAGAAATTTTCCCGATTGCGTAAATAGTAAAAGAAGTTGTTGATAATGTTTGCAACTTGGGTGAAAATGATTCCTATTATAATTAGTTTTCGAGTTATCGGTGTTCCAACAATGAAATGAATTACCATAAAGATGTTAAGAGGTAAAATAGAACATATACAGGTAAAACAAATGTTTATTAAATGTTTAGCCAATAATTTTTCATGTTTCTCACGACTGAAATGGATAAATTCCTCTTCAGATGTATGAAATATATTGGCCACAATGTAACTTCGGACTGCATTTTCGCGTGTTTGCTCATTAATTTTGCGGCGTTTCTCTCTTGTTTCATTTAAGATCATACGATAACTAACAGATATAACGATAAGGCTTAAGATGGGTACAAATAGAAAATAGGTCACAAAATAGAGGATATGGTAGATATTCTGCTGATAATGGTAATCTGGATAGCATAATCCAACAACTTGAGCATAGGTGTATTTGCCCCAATATCCAATGACAGGTGGTGAAGCAAAGAGCAGTGGTACTAACCAGATGAATATGAATATACTCCAGTTGGGATGATTTTTGATGAAATGTGGCAATTGATTGGATTTAGCCACCACATAATAACGTGTTACTGATAGAGCGAGCATATTATATACAATAATTATATGTAAGTACATGATCCAACCAAATTGCAGTCGGCACCAAAATGTATTTGATGAATGGATTGGAACTTGGCGAAGATGGAGCTTAACCATGGTTGGAAAGATTGCTATAAAGCTGAAGTAGTCATAAGATAGCTGTTAATTAGAGCCAAAAAGATGGATAATATTTTAAGCAACAATTATTTTTATGGAAATGAGATAGAAAATATAAAAGCGAAATTTAAGATATGGGCAAATATTACTTTTACTGTATAATATCACAATGAGAGAAAATAAGGGTAATATGACTGAGCCACGTGGACTCGAATATAACTCGATATCAAGGCTTAATAACATACTGATCCATTTACTGGGGATTCAAATTAACTCGTATTTAACCGAAATTTATACATCAAATTATCCAATTGATATAATAGACATCCTAAAAGAAAAGAAATTTTGGTATAACCCCTAAATAATTGTCTAGACTTGCTCACAATAATTTGAAAGTTTTAACTAAATTTACTGAAAAATAGATAGAACGAAATGATGAGGCAAATTTGAAGCATGAATATTGTGCTTTAATAGTATTAAGCAAATCTCATTTATTTGAGCACAATTGTACACCATCATCTGTAACAAGTTCTAGACTATAGACTCATATAGAAGAATTATACTCGCTTTGGAATATCCCATTTTGTACAATAATAGCATTAATACGGCATTATTATTAGAAAATCAGATACTAGCGACGTAAATAAATTGGAATCAATGTTCCTAACTGCAGCTGATAATGAATAGAGAAAGGAATATAATTGCCGATAGTCAATGCGTATCAATTTTAACAATTGCACGTAGGTGATAAAGAGAAAGGGGTTTTTCTGATGTTGTAAACAAGTTGAGTAGTTTATCAGACAGTAGCTAGGATTATATATTGATCATGAAATGATTTAAAGTAAGGTCAATAACGACTATCGATGAATATCTGGTATCCCTTGTACAAATCCTTTTATACAATCTAAATTTCATCAATTGGATCTTGCAATATGAATGTAAAAGGACATTAACTGACTGCAACAACTTCTCATCATAGATTTCATTTTAACTATCTTCTAGCTTTAATGAAAAAAATGACTTTTTTAGCTAAATTTTGACTTTAGTCATGTTCTACAATAGCGGCTTTTGTTTTGTATTCTAAATTACAATATCGATGAAAAAGAAACTATTCTCAAATTTGTTTACTAGCGGCATTAATGTTATAGCATTGCCAATCAGGATTTTTCTTAAACTTGCACTAATATTGGTATCCTTATCATTTGCTGCTGGTATTCCTTGATTATTATTAGTTATTATTCTACTTTTGTGGTTACTAAAATTTGTTATTCTGCACCAATTACTAATTATCGTCAGTATTAGGTTATTTTCGATATTGCATCATGATATACAAATAAAGTAATGAAAAGGAATAGTCGCCAATTTTATTAAGCTCCTCCTGATTATTATTATATCACCATATACACTAATTTATACTAATCAAATTAATCAAATTTATAATAAGCATAATTAGTATGATACCTCTTTTATATGTAAAGCTAATTAAAATTAATTACATCAATTATACCTGCAGGATGACTTTAATTTATAATAAGATAAAAAACGTCTGAGTACAACAAAAAATCTTGATATGTTGTTGATTTTTTTAAATTTAAGTTAACTCGATTTTTATACACAAGAATAAACTTTTTCCCTATGTCATATCTGATTTTAAATGTCTTACCTTGTAAATAGAAATAGCTCATCTATAACGACTAAATTCAATATTAGTCTATCCACAAGTAACGGTTTCTTCCATGTCGTTCGAATCACATGTATTCCAACTAATGTAGCAGTAAGGCATCCAATCACAAATATAAGTGGTAGAATAATAGTAATGGTTAAAGCTATGTATTCTGTTAAGTAAGATGTATCGTTTAACGAATTCGGAGGGCGTCTTGAATACCTAAGCATGGCTGAATTTTCTAGAAATAAAACATTATCGATTAGTGAAAGAATCTACTACTATAATTATATTTTAGGCTATCAGCGATATATATCATCCCTATGATAAGGTATTTCTTAATGATATGAAATAGAATGAAAACTCTGTCGATCGTTAAATATCTATACTGTTGAAGTTATACTTTGAGCTATCATCAATGCATATAATTCTTATGATACGATATTCCTTGAAGATAGGAAATGAATGAAAACACTGTTGATGAGTAAATATCTATCTTGTTATGGTTATACTTTAGGCTATGATCGATGTAATAATTGATATAATCCTCTTTAAGACCATGAGATGGGAATAAAACAAATCCCAGTCAATCTTAATACATAATTATACTGATTTAATTTCAACCTTAGACCATCACTGATGTAAATAAATTTCTGTATGGATATAAAATAAAAGTTTCTCATGCAGTAAGGAAAAAATAACACTTTATTACATAATCATAAACAAGCTGGTATCGCATCTTCTATCTCTTGTATAAGGAACTGCTATTTATATTTCCACTTGCTACATTAAATAAAATGCGGCATAGCTGTATAATTTTGAATTCATTACGGTGAATAATTATAGTGCACTACGATAATGATTTGCCCTTTTACATTTGAATGATATTTCATGAAGGTTTATAGATGCTTTTTATAAATTTATAGTTTTACAGTTGATTATTATGTATAATAAGGTGTTATAAATAACCTATTGAAGTTTTGACTGGATAGTAGAATATTAATAATTATATTGTTATTGTTATCCTAGCATGGCTCTTTCTCATCGATTGGAAATACGGGAAGTTATTGCTCAATTTTAATCGGTTTATGCGAAAAATCGTAATTGATAATTCATACTTTGATTATCTATATCTCTAATATTAGCAATATAATCATATGGATTTAGAACTGTCAGAAATAATTCTAATATTAAATTTTTGAGTGAGCTTTGGAATTATAAAATTGCTGTCATTTATTTGATTATTAATCATTGTTAATTAGTTAGGCTTATATGGACGTTAAGTAGAAATGAGCAACGTACTTGTTGTCTTATGGCCAAGAAAAGGTCAAAAAGGTAAAAGTATCTTTTAGTAATTTTCTACCTTTGAAAAGCTTGAATATATAATGATAGTATCGAAAGGCTGATTTCCTCAACAATTTTGGAAGCTAAACTTAATTCAAAAATAGGATTGGATTTATCATGAGTATAAATTTACCATGTTTAACAACTTATGTATGATGAAAACCTGTTCGAAATACTATCTTATCTATCAGTACTAAAATATATTTCAAATTGGTTTTATACTATTTATTACATTTGCTTCAAAAGTTATATAAAAGATGTTCAAATTGCCGATATAACGGTATTAAATTGCCTATTTCACTGAACTATTAACATTCATATGTTATACCATAAATGGCTGATCCAAAATTTAATAACAAGTAAATTTAAAGTGAGCCAGATCTTGACTTTTAGGTTTTCAATTTTTTTAAGGCAATACCAAGATTCTAGGCAAAAATGATATCGGTTGAGCCTATAAATGCTACCAGTATTCTTAAGTAAATAGATAGATATGAGTATTCTAGCAGGTACCAGCCTTTGCCCGTGGAACTGTCTAGATATATTTATTGCTTAGACTACGTTACCTGCTTGCGTAGAATCCGGATAATGACAGTGTAATTGAGACTTTAGAACGAAATTTCTGGATAATATTTAACTTCCTATCAGTTTTTCTTCCTTTAAAACGTAAATATATCGACGGAAGCAAAATTTAGTTCTAAAATCTTCTGACAGCTTGATAATGACAATAGCTTGATAAAAATAAATCATACTATTCGATCTTTAATATTAATTTGACACCAATATGAAATAAGGTCACGATATGCAAGATGAAGTAGTGCTAAAAATTGAATTCTCTCATATTACTTCGTCATTCTAATATAGTTTACTGACCTAAAGATGGTGTTGGTAATGAAATGGTGGCTTGGAATGATGACCTAAGACAAAATTGAATATTCTTCTTCTACTTCACTTTGCAAAATTTCCAAGGAATAACTGAACAAAGTAAAGAACAACTCCTTTAATTATCGATGTGTCTACAATGAATGGCTCAATTACATTCAAATGAATATGTCAATTTTATGAATCGTTAATAAAAATTTTGAATAGGAATTATAAAAGCAATCTACCGTATATTTTGCTATTTTTACACCTACTTTAAAGTATTAAAATATATCCAATTAATTGCTGGATGTATTACTTTACCTAACTTGAATAACTTCAACGTTGATCGCGTAATAACAGTCGAAAAAATGATATTAATAGAGCAAGCCAATGTTTTTTCTTTTCTTTCTTTCAATCAATAGCTAATGAAAAAAATGATACAGTACTCAATCTTCACATGTACCGTAGTCTTTTTCTCGTCTTTAGTATAGTGAATGTACATCTCTCATATACTGTAAATCAATATTATTGGAATAGAGCTAAATTATGTCTTGAAAAATTAATCCAAATGTTGAGAAAGGAATCGACATACTGTCATGTTCTCAATTTCAATCATTTAGATCAAACGATAAGATAAAATTTTATTTTTACTTACCTCCTCAATTTCCAATGGAATAGAGAATAAAATTTTTAAACGGACTAGCAACTGCTGCGCTATACAATACTAACTAATGAAGTGATTCATGTTGAGGTTAATTTATATAGGTCAAATGTAAATTGGCATCCTTTCGACAATAATAACAAAGTAATGTTTGATTTTTGCAGACAATGCGTCTGCGATGTGATTTTTATTATATTGGAAAATTAAGAAATTAAGCAAACCATGAGTAAGCGCCGGAATAGGAAGGAGTTCATTACATTAAATGCGCAAATGACGAACAAATAATAACAGTGGCCAAGCAATGGATATTACTATCATTCATGACATCATCATTCCAGCTAGTTTTTCAAAATAATAACAGCCAGTCTTTTTTTCAAGCGTTATTGTTCAAGGAAATGAATAGAAATTACCTATTGAATTAGGGAAGAAAAGCAAGGTTAAAAACCAGTTAAAAGATGTATCAATTTTCGA